GCAATTTATATTGACAAGAACGTATACAAGTAATTAGTGCGGTAACTATGGCCAGATGTGCAATTGTACAAACAACAATTATAAATCTAAACATAACATATGCATTTAATTTTTGGGAATATGTTTGCAATGCTTGCAGACAGGCAATGTTACTTTTGTCACCCTTGAAATCTGGAACCCGCTGATAATTCACTGACCTTAGAATATTGACGAAAGGAAAAAAAAACGTTATCCTGAGAGGGTGAATTCCTTCAAACCCATGGAATAGTATCCACATTATTAGTTTGCCTTCAACAAAATGGTTCAGTCCACATGCAATGTTTGACATCTTGCCACGTTCTTGCACAGAGTAATTCCTGCATTTATATAACAGCCTGCCTAACGTGAACATTAACACTGTGCATTGCAGTATAAGGGGTATGGGGCGAAAATGTTTTAGTGTAAGAAAGTGATTTACCAATCATTTCCTGGTCAGTATCTATGCTTTCACACGCAAATGTCCTGAACAAGCCGACGTCCAGCAGCAACGTGTCCATGAACTGGAAACGATAAAGACCACACACATCGGTTTGTTTGTGCTCTGACTGTACTCTTGCAACACAAGAGGCCCCACTTTGTTTAAGCCACTCCTTCATCGGTACACAACCCGTGTTCAAATGTCCGATGTGTAACTTTGGTTAGTATTTGTTTTTTAACACTGGTTGAACTCTATCATAGGCTTGCTTCAAAAAAATCGAAAACATATCATGGGCATTGCTGTTCATGTGCATGTAGTTTTTTTCTTGCCTTAACAAGATAATAAATCGGTGCTATGAAGAAGGGCCATTGCCTGAAACGTTGCCTATCATATATTGTCCCTTGTAAAGCCTGTGTTATTGATGAATGTGTTGATATTTTTTGTTATTTGTGCTCATACACTCCTGCCAATGCATTAGCATCACCACCAATACTTTGGTTAATCTGTAGAGGGCTTGAAGGAACAAAAACAACAACGAAGTGATCTTTGATTAAGAGTAATGAACAAAATTAAAATGTTGGCACAATTAGTTTAACACGTAATTGTCACAATTATTTGTACACATTATAACATTAACCTGCAAGAAATCATATTTAAAAGCTATTGACAAAAAAAAACCCGTCAGTGAATCTGTTTGGTGTGAGAACTGTGCTCTCCAGTTCACAGTAAAACACCTAAAAACAAACACATTTCATAAACATAATTAATATATATTATGATATATATATGTTTAAAGATGGCTTCACGTTGCTTGGTATAACAAACCGGGAGTGGAGTGGTGGCAATGTGGTTAGTCCACTGTGACCCGAGTTCAGTCTCCCACCAGGGCTAACATCAGTGGTGAGTGATAATGAACTGGCCAACACGGTGAAGTATGGTCAAGCAACCCCCATATGACCCACACAGCATCGTCAGGCCTTCCTCCGGCAGTGGATTTACAAATGACTGTACATTACTGTTGTTTATTTTATTAGACCAAGCACGCAAATCAATGTAGTTCCTATTTTCAATTTTCAAAAATACTTTCGTCATTATATGCACAGCATGCAATAAATGTACAGACACCGTGACTGGACAAATTTATTGAAATATAGTCATAATTAAAGCATGTTGACACCCAAGATGACATTTCACCCCATCATGTTAGAGAGGCACTGTTAATATAAGAGCCAAGACTGCAATCCAGCCCTCATTATCACACGTGAACGTACCTTTATGCAATACATTTTGGATATGGATATTTGTCATTTCGGACACCCTGAATGTCTCAATACTCACATTATTGGGACACACTTTGTGTGGTCACACCTTTTTCATTCATCCTGCCATTCATCCTGACTAAAATTTGCAGCATTGGAATTTCCCATTAACTTTTACGCTGGCTTTTAATGGTATATCTCCCATCCAAAGTTTGTCATAACTGGGATCACTTTCCCTAACACTTAGCTTTGGGTTCGCGAATAAAAGTGCCTCGCAAAGCCCTTGCATTTTGCTCAGGATCCACACAATTTGAAGAAAAGCTCACTGCACAAATTGATGAAAAATATTGCTTATAGATCTCATAACAAAACACCCCATCACGATGGAGCCGCATTGCATCAAATGTTTGGAAATGTTAAATGATCAGATTTCTATTTAAAGCTTTCGTTACTGCAAGGATTCATTTTCTTTGGTTCTTTCGGTAAAGTCACGTAGAATGAGAATAAAATAATAAATTGATAAAATAAAATAGCGCTGTCCGCCAGACAGTCTCGTCCCTTCACCTGATGAAGGCCGCTTGTGTTGTGGTTGAAACGTCATGAGAATTTTATTGTGTTATTTTATTTTATCAATTTATTATTTTATTCTCATTCTACGTGACTTTACCGAAAGAACCAAAGAAAATCAGATTTCTGTAATAGGGGTGTCACGTGATGATAAATTAATGGACTGGTGGCACAGTGTTCGGCACACTTTGCTATACGCAACCGGTGGACTGAGTTTGATTCCTGGCCACAGAAAACACCAACTAGTTCGGAGCATTGTGGAAAATTGTGGCCATAATCAATGTGCCATTACTCCGCCCAATATACATATATACTGAGCCACACGTCGAATTCCAATTGTGCAATCGTAAAAGAACAGACGCAAGAACGCTGAACTGGCAGAACAGAGATCCTAGGTAGTTGCCTGCAATTTAACTCGGTTCTCAAGCGTAGCAAGGTGATGTTCTCCGCCTGGTCAATAATGATTGTACACAAAACAAATCCACGGCAATAAATTTTGGTATTTCAGCTGATTTGGCGAAAATTTCAGCGCTGAGAATTAAAATAAATGGCAGTTTAAAACTGACGTGACAATCTCAGCAAAGCGTGTAGAATTTGTGCCCTCTGTCGTTTAAAGGTCTAAAAGGCCACTTGAAGGATTTTCCAGAAGTGTTGTGAAAAATCTCACATGTGGGCACAATTGTAATAAATTACTGTACATGGTAAAAAAAAAACCTGCAAAAGAGAAAAGTAAAATCCCATTCACAATGGAAAAGGCAAAGAAGAGTTTCCAGAGGAACCAATTAAATGTTCATTGTATAACAATATATGTCATGCAACAAAAAAAACTTGCATTTGTACATGCTTCATTAATAAAATACATTTAAAGAATACACGCAATATAAATGACAACGCTGGAATGTTTTGACCGTTTTCACGCACAGGAACGAGACTTCGTACGCACTCAAACCGAGTGGGAGGTGTATTAGGCCGTGCCAGGTGTCAAACGAGCAGGGCCACCCACCCCTCAGAACCCCGTACGTTGAGTTTCCGCTTGGGTACGATGTGTCTCGGGGTGTTTCCGCAGTATTCTGGCTTCAGTGATTCGCGTCTATAACCCCCCACGGGTTCGCCCCCGAAATAATTATGAGCGGATATACTGTGTCCCACATTTAATGTTGTTCTTTTTGGAGAGAACTCATACTTTTTTTAAAGGGGGGGGGGGGGGGGGGGGGAAACGACATATTACACTTCCAGAATATTTTTTTAAACAGCTCAAAATTAACAACCTTTTCCCCTTTTGGTGAGAACCCCATCTGGTTTGGGACAGCGAGTCTGTTCCCCCATCTTTGTATCCCCTGCTTTTCATAACCGGTTTAGTTTATGTAGACGGTATGTGTGTGTGTGTGCGCGTCACAACGCGATGTAACGGCCCGCACACTGTGCCTCAATTATTTTTTATCAGCTAAAAAATAACAAAGCTGACGTTAGCTGCATCTCCAAGCTGTGTCGGGAACATAACGCGCCAGATAGTCCAAGGTTAGTGCTCTATTGTACTCAACCACTGTACCGATGAATTGCACGTTACTGCATTGGCTTGTCATTTTTTTGTGGTTCCAGTAGTTTAGTTTTTTTACGTTTCTCATTTTACGGATAGTAACGTTAAAATGTTAGAACCAGCGCATTACAAGGCTGTGAAGGGGCTGAATCTGCTCTTCATTGAAATAACGGTGTTTGGATTTTGAAGACGCTTTTCGCAGGGAATCCCACCACGGCATTCGCCCAGTACACGCTGTATACTGAACGGTACTTCAAAGGAAGACACCTGGGTGAGAATGTATTAGAAGCGACGCCAGGTGCGTGCGTTGAACTTAGAGTGCCTCAGTTGGCAACGATAGCATTTATACTTTTTCACATTCCCCATGACTTTGAAGTAAGTGGCAAGTTACTTCAGCATTGATAGCCCCTCCAATGAGTTTTCAGGTTGTGCCACGTTCAGTGTTGTTCGTCATGACGTCCAACGTTTCACTCCACACGCTGGGAGCTTCTTCAGCTTGAGGAACTGAGTTTATTCAGTTCTCAGTACGTGGAGCGAAACGTCGGACATTGCACGGAACAACACGCGGTTTGACTCGGAAAAGCATCGGTGAAGCTACACAACACAACCACGAAAACCTAGGCAGTGGGACTTTTAATAATAATAATAAAAGATAAATTAACGAAACAAATACCAAATAGTTATTATGAAATACCAAATACTTTTTTTAGTGACCCATCAGAATGAAGAAAGCGATACATGATTACTGCACCCTTTTTATGTTGGAATTATTTTAAGAGGCAATGGTCAATAAATGTAACGACTCAAACATTATTCCTCACAAAGCAGTGTGCTACTTATGTCCGCAAGTGCATATATACATTGCATAATACATAATTTCAGTTTTTCTGTTTCAGTTTATTTATTTTGGTATAGCCCTGTGAGCCATTCGGCTCTTGAATCGGGTGCAACCGCAACAAACAAAAAACAAAAAACATGAACAAGAAAACATCTTAAAGTGACTATGTGACTGTGCAAACAGAAAATCCAAGAAAAAAACAGCAAAATATTCCTGAAAAAAGCACCGTACACCAACGCTGTGTGCAAAAAATCCCAGTGGGATGCAAGTCAAACAACAACAACAACCACAAGAAAACTTAGATTAAGGCCGTCAGTCTAACTCCGTACTAAAATAAAACAAACATGTCCAAACCAAAAAACTCTTCGAAATCACGAAAAAATGAAGCCATAATTGCAACGTAACAGTGATCAAAGGGACTGTGACCGAATTTGTACAATAAACTACATAAATAACATGTAACACCAAATCCTAGAGCCATAGCTGACTACATGAGTTACTCCACAAGAATTTAAATGGTTATAGGTTATAATAGGATATCTGGATCTCCTTTGCAAGAGAAATGTGGATTTTGCTGTCAAGAATGTAAAGAATATGGCACTGCAGGCTGCTCCTATATATGCAAGCACACACAAGATGCATACACCAGATGTCATTGTAATGTATTTATGTTGAACTTCTTCCGCACCGTACGTTGCCAACCGTGCTAACTGGAAGTGTAACAAATAACTACAGAAGTTTTTTTTATAAACATGGTAACGTAACTTTAATAACAAAATTAATCAGTCCCTGCTTCAACTGCCGATAACCCAATGCTATGAATTCGAATTCATATCATTTGTATCATCCCGTACAATACAATGTTGCCTTAATGATCGTAATCTCTTTGGGACAGCACTATGGTGCGTACAACAAAAACGACTTTTTCTGTAAATTAATACAACAATTTCACGAGTTGACGTTCATTTTAAAATTTCGTTTTGCATAGAGGAACAGAACGGCATGAACACTTGAACAAAATTGGAGCGGGCTCATTTTGGAAAAGTTCTTTTGGCGGAGCCAATATCCGCAAAAATGTCACTTGCGATATATCATTGTTTCCCAGTGCTTACTGCATGTGTCTCCTCGTATTGCCGTTTTCCATCTGCATTCAGGCCTGGAGGACCCATTCGAAATGTGCTGAATCCAGCAGAGGCTGCCATGCATCTCCACCGCCATTAGCAGCTGGCTCGGAGCAAAAAAGACTTCCTCTTGAGGCAACATCCTCCAAAAGAGGTGCATGCCGATCTATATATATACATAAAATAAAAGCAGAGAGTGTATTAATTTAATGGAATATTTTTTTTTAATATCCCAATTTCAGTTGAACATCTGTTGCAATACGCTAGCCGAGCACTTTGCAGCCTTAGTTCAATGACAGTTACTTCCTTATGAGGCTTTGATTCAGCCCTGTGATTAATTACCGGACAGGCAGGATAGGTCCAATTACAATGCTATCTTGAGATACATTTGCACTTGTGGATTATACTTCATGGCCTGTATCTAGCAGCAACACAAGCTGATTAACATTTATTTTTCATACATCTTTTTACACTTATCATTGGGCTAGCCGTTTAATCGCATTTTTCTCAATATTTAGCGCAAGTCACTAATTTAATTACAGGAATTAATAACTTATGTACTGTATACATTAATCAATATACACATCGTACACAGAAAGCTGCATATAAAATATACCAACGTTCAAAGTACCCTACTGTACCGAATTCACATTTAAGTAGCGTCAAACCAATCACCTCTCCAATGTGTTTTTGGAATTTGCCACGTGTTGCTCGGCCTGATGTCCGACGTTTCTCTCCGTGTTCTGGGAGCTTCTGCAGGAGCACGCGGAGCGAAACGTGGAACAACGTGCCGAAGAAAATGCGTGGTACAACCCGAAAGCACTTCGGAAGGCTACACTTGCACAACCACGAAAAACCTACGTAGTAGTAGGAGTAGTAAACCAATGACCCGTTTGCCACGCTCACAGTGGTAGCTGCACAGGGCAGGCATGATCCCTGAATGATGGCGACAAGGGGAGTTGTGCTTTGCCGTGTCCCTGCAGTGGTAGGGATCACGCCGGCACTTTGTTCCTCAGCTCTTCTGCACTGCAGAATGAACCGAGCGCTTCACCAAAGGACGCGTGATGAAGCACTTGGCCGCCGGAGCGAAACTCAATGCTTGTGAAATCTGCAAAGAGGCAAAGTAAAGCGACGTAATCCGCACTCCGCATTCCGTCAAGATCAAGAGGTCGGGCGTGTCGTCGTGGCCAAAGCCGTCGATGCCATCACACTTTCGCGAATGCTTTCTGCTCTCTTGCGGGTCCCGCAGCTGCTGCACAAAAGAGACACGCGGTGGACTCCAAGATCTGGCCTGACGGACTCCCACCATCTGGTGTTAGGCCCTCGGTCCCCGGTCGTCGGACTCGTGGAGACCACTCCAATGTTTCTCCCGCAAAAAAAACTGGCCTTTCTCCATCCCGCACACACACGTCCTCGGCAAACCTTTTTTTGTTGCCAAATAATTTCTACAACTGTATTAATTACGTAAAAATATAAACATTGCAAAAGCAAATTAGAGGCCTTTATTAATCCACTGGTTGGTGAAGTCTTGCCCACACCGTGTTGGTTATGGGGGTTGTTTGACCATACTTCACCATGCTGGTCAGCGCGGGCCGGTGAAGATGAGGGACCAGGCTGGTTCAGTTATCACTCGTCAGGAATTAACCTCAGGTCAAATGGGTTTCTAGCATAATGCACTAATCACTGCGTCACCGCACCATAACACACCGCATATAATACATATTATTGGAATTTGTATTATACAAAGTGCTTCAAACAATTGTTAACACTTCAGAGAATTTGCAACAACACCACGTGACATGTGCTGCTGCCTCCGGGCTACGGAGACCGCCTGGAGAAGATTCCAGGCCACGTGTTGACAACGGTGGCGAACGAGTGGGAGACTCTTTGACTTTTTGAAGCTATTGACATTACATTTGTTAACATGTTACAGTCTAATATCCGTTCTTTTTCCATTAAAAACGATCGTCCCATATAAGTTTTAATATATTTTTTAAGCACCCTGTATCATTCACTGTTGAATGTTTCGTCTCGTCATTAAATTTCGCCGGTGTGTTGCCTCTTACTTTAGATTTACACGTGCACCGTAATGCTTTGTTACTCAGTTTTAGCTCACCTTGATTCAATAACAATGACGATGTTGATAAATTACTGAACGTGTGGAAATCGGTGGTGCGTGATGACCTCGTTTGAAAACGTAAGTATATCTCACGTGACAAGACATTGTCCCGCGATGTGCACAAGTTCGAGATAAGGCCTTGGTCCCATAGCCGCCACAGTGCCTCTAGCTTCAAGACATGCACAGTGTAACATTTGGTGGGAAGTTGGGTTTCCACCTGCCCTGGTTTTCTCAGGATTTTTACTATTTTTTGAGCTAGCCATCTTGGGGAATCTGTAAGTCTTCCAGGATATTCTGAGTCCCAGCGTATGTCAGTTGAGTAACAGAATGTACTCACTGGCGGAGCCAGTTGGGGGGGAGGTGGGGTGGCACGTATCCCCCCAATGATCCGATCGAAATCCCTAATTTAGATCGGATCATTGGGGTTTATTAGTAATAAATCGGCATTTTGCGACCCCCACTGCCACTGTGTAGCATATTATTACATGCCAGAGACTCTGTGAGATGCTAGGACAATAGTCGTGAGTCCATAATTGGCAATAAGTAACGGCAAAGCAGTTATAAGCGACTCGCAGAATTGTGCGCAGTTGCGTATACAGAGTCCACAACTTCCCTGAAGGCATCAACACCTTCAGCGAGCGCGATGCCGATAACACAACGCGGTTCGAACTCGACCCTCGATCGATGGCTGCACCATCGCCGCACACGTGTCGAATAAAAAGCAAGGGACAAGTCCTTACTTACTACTTCTATCATTTCTCATTGCTGGTGGGGTTGCCCCCACTACCTGATAATCTGGCTCCGCCATTGGCTGTACTTGTAGTTAATTTCCCCCTTTCCAGCGTTGAGATATTTGTTTTTATCTCCATGATAAGTCCCAGGTTTAATTCACCTCTGAGGTAGCAACTCTCATGGGAAGGTGACAGAAATGCATTGCTGTAATAGGTGTGAAAAACATTATTTTGTTTAATTGTTGTTTCTGTCAGCCCTTGCATTTCACATATATCATTGTCTGTTTACATGTTCATACAATAGTCACCCTATTTCGATTAAATGTTTCTAATACTTTAATGGAATTCTACTATCATACATATAAAATGGTCTGAATGAGCCGACATACTGCAGGGAATGTGTTATTTAACGTAGATTTATGTTCATACTATATTTAAAAGTTATGTAATAAAGTATTTTTTTTTGCTCTGATCTATATTTGCTGCATTTCTGTACAGTGGTACCTCGGTATACGTCGTTAATTCGTTCCAGAAGGTAGGAGGACGTATACCGGAAGTGACGTCTACCAAACGAATGTTTCCCATAAGAAATCAAGGGAAAGGAAATAATCCGTTCCAGAGTATAAGAAATTATATTTTATATGGCATATTAAACATTAATGGGGTTGCATAACATAATGTAGACACTACTTAGTACTAAATTGCATACATACATTAAATTACAAAAAACACGTGAAAATTCACAGAGTTATAGCAAGGGGGGTTGTGCACTGAACGAGATCTACAGGCAGACTGAGGAGCAGCGCTTTGTCCCAGTCGTGAACGGGGTCTTCGCGGGGACGCGGTGGCTCATCCCGACCCATCCAAGTTCTAGCAAGCGCCTCGTATCCCAAGACGTCGTATCCCAAGCAAAGCGTCGTATCCCAAGCAAGACGTCGTACCCCAAGACGTCGTACCCCAAGACGTCGTACCCCAAGCAAGACGTCGTACCCCAAGCAAGACGTCGTACCCCAAGCAAGACGTCGTACCCCAAGCAAGACGTCGTACCCCAAGACGTCGTACCCCAAGCAAGACGTCGTACCCCAAGACGTCGTACCCCAAGCAAGACGTCATACCCCAAGCAAGACGTCATATCCCAAGACGTCGTACCCCAAGCAAGACGTCGTACCCCAAGCAAGACGTCGTATCCCAAGACATTTTTTTCTTGTCAAAACACGACGTGTACCAAATTCGACGTATTCCAAAGCGGTCGTATACCGAGGTATGACTACACTTTATTTGTTTTTCTTTTGCCATAGTAACCCGGGTCACTCTTGTAAATGAGACTCCTATCCTGGTCTCTTGAGTGATCACCTGGTGAAAGAAAGAATCTTGACATTCCGAGTTAAACCTGGATCTGAGTTCACCCAATGAGGGGAAATGGAACCGTGGGGTCAGAGAGACCCAGAACCAACTTTGTATCACGTGGCACTCCAACTTTGCAAAAATGTAAGCTCTTACATCATGACCAACCAACAGGAGGAAATGCACCTACAAGGACATTCTTCCTTGAAGATGTGCAGCAGCTCGATGGATTGTTCCAATGCAAGACCGTGAGAGATGGCGCAGCTCAGGGAGGCCTTCATCCAACAGTGGATAGATCATGGCGCATGCACTGAAATTGTAAAAAGTAACTGGAATTTATTCGCGTGAAATATGTTGCCGTACAATTGAAAAAATGAAATCGAAAGTGATTTTGTCATACTTCCATAGGTTTTGTTGGAGAGACAATACCAACAATAATTTTAAGGCCATTGCTATTAGCTGGGACAACACAGCGAGGTCAAGCTGTGTCGCTCGATGTGCTGTATAGCACAGAAAGAGCGAAGGCACGGTTCAAGGCTCAACGACGTCGCGTCTCTGCAAGCTGTTTCACCTCCAGGCTTTTTGGCGACGTCTATAATTCATCCGTAGACCTCACACTCTCACTTTTCATTGAACCCTTTCCCAAGTGCTCTTTTAAACCCCCTCCCAAGACTAAGCCTGTCCATTTTTGAATTCACAACTAGTTTTCTTTCGTAAGCAGAATTTTATTTTGGCAGATGCATCTGCCAGGGTTGCATGTCTGGGGGGTGGGGGAAGACACCCACCAAGACACCCACCTTGTCTTGGGCCCTGCCAACGGCGGCACAACGGGGGAAGTGCCGGCCGGAACTCTTTATAATAACATCCTCTCGCGTGCAGATCGGTGGTCTTTCCGAGAGCACTATCTGCGATACGCTCTCATCTGGGGGCCTTTCGCCGATAAAAACGGGGGCGAGACGGCTGCAGCAAAACACATGTCGGCTGAAGGCAGAGCGACGGAGCGATGGGGTCGGGGTATGGGGTTGCCAAGTGAGCCTCCCCTGCTGAAGGCCATACATTAACACGCTCCTCAGTCACTTCACACTCTCCTCAGTCACTTCAGGCTCTCCTCAGTCACTTCACACGCACTTCAGTCACTTCACGCTCTCCTCAGTCACTTCACGCTCTCCTCAGTCACTTCACGTGCTCCTCAGTCACTTCACGTGCTCCTCAGTCACTTCACGCTCTCCTCAGTCACTTCACACTCTCCTCAGTCACTTCACACGCTCCTCAGTCACTTCACACGCTCTCCTCAGTCACTTCACGCTCTCCTCAGTCACTTCACGCTCTCCTCAGTCACTTCACGTGCTCCTCAGTCACTTCACGCTCTCCTCAGTCACTTCACGTGCTCCTCAGTCACTTCACGTGCTCCTCAGTCACTTCACACGCTCCTCAGTCACTTCACACGCTCCTCAGTCACTTCACGTGCTCCTCAGTCACTTCACGCTCTCCTCAGTCACTTCACGTGCTCCTCAGTCACTTCACGTGCTCCTCAGTCACTTCACACGCTCCTCAGTCACTTCACACTCTCCTCAGTCACTTCACGCTCTCCTCAGTCACTTCACGTGCTCCTCAGTCACTTCACGTGCTCCTCAGTCACTTCACGTGCTCCTCAGTCACTTCACGCTCTCCTCAGTCACTTCACGTGCTCCTCAGTCACTTCACGTGCTCCTCAGTCACTTCACACGCTCTCCTCAGTCACTTCACGCGCACTTCAGTCACTTCATGCTCTCCTCGGTCACTTCACGTGCTCCTCAGTCACCGCATCACTTGTTGCGACGTTTCGCCGTCTTATCCTGTTGGAGTTAACAAGATATCCTGCGTTCTGGGTTCTCGCCATCCGACCTGATTATAATGCACGTTAGTCCGAGAAACTTCACATGCGCGTTGATGACTCGTCTTGGCACTCCTCGCTATTTCTTTCCGTACAATTGTGTCGAGAGCCACGTGGTCATGACATATGCTATTTGAATCTATTGTTCGCAGGCTTGCGAGGCCGGGCGATTTGGTCGCAATTGAGTTTAACATTAAAAAAAAAGCTGCTGTGAAATGTAATTTAGAAAAGCAACCTTTCAAAATGTTTAATTTGCTTTAGCTCCACCCTGGCACATGGGACAGCTTTTTGGCCTCGTTGGTCGAGTGCCCCCCGCTCCCCCCCTCCCCACCTTCCCCCCTTCCCTGGCAGCCTGCTTGTTTAAACGATTTACACCATCCCGTTGTACACCTTCTGTGGGGGAGGCCTTCATCCAGCAGTAGATTGGCAAAGGAATGTAATGCGTTTTCTGCAATGATACATTTTAAGTCAAATTTGCCAGAAAAGATTTAAAAATATACACAAAGAAAAAGATCCCCCGTGTAGCCTTGACAGACTGTTGGGGCAAGTGCTGTTAGAGAGCAGCACCTATGAAGGCCGGCACGGCACACGATGGGGTGGGTGGCCAGCACTACGCCCGACCGTCTTTGTCTCCCCAGTGGCGATGTTTACTACACACCGCACCAGGTACTCATTTGAGGCCGAGTCGACCTAGTGGACGCCCAGGTACCGGTTCAGATAATCGTCACCGGTGTTGGCCGTGAGCGGGTAGCCGGGTTCGTACCGCTATACACCGCACCCCGCACACACAACATTGTTTTCAAGTAATGTTGTGTTTACTATTAATGTCTTGTATTATATCTACATGTATGAATTTGGATGATTTATTCTTTTTGTTTACATTTGTAACAGTTTTATGCACGTAAATATGTATTTTACTGTGGCTTAGTTGTATTTTTGCATCCTAGTTATCCACTGAAATATAAACTCTTGTCTCAATAAGCTCACACCTTATTTTAAATAACACTTGCGTATGTTTGTCTGTATTTATGTATGCACGTATATATAAGCCAATGTACACCTGCATGTGTGTAACGTAATGCATTTCTTATGGCAGTAATAATCCATGGCAGACAACAGTGGCCAAGGGAATAGATGCAAGCAAGGTGGCATTACCTTGTAAACTGCTTGCTTGACTCATGCACCTCCATCTCCGAGCTCTTGAACTCATTGAGTTCTCTCCGGATGGCAGCCTGGACACGCGGCACACGCAGCCGTTCAGTCAGCGGAGCCAAATAGCTTCATGGGGGGGGGGGCTCGGGGCTGAGATATTTTATTTTTTGGGTGGGGGGCCTCTTTGTATATTCAATTCGTTCCCCTTGACTGTCTTACCTCCCCCCTCGACCCACGCTAAACGCCAAACACTCCATTGTTATTTTTCACCATGGTTACTTCAGCTCCAGTTTTTTTTTTAATGAGATATACAAAACGTTAAAAGCCAAGGTCACAGTTAAAACGGACAAAACCTTTAATTTTGGAACACAACCGGTCGGAAGCACGCATAGCGAGGCTTTGGCATCAACAACTAAATGATAGTGGCCTACTCTATTGGGTTTCAAGGGTTATGAAGCAGTTCGTCCAGATTACTTTTTTTTTCAGGTATCCACCACAATCCAAGGCACCGGGGCTGCAGGCACGAAAGTGCCCCCCGCGTTAATCCAGCGCTGCTCATGTCACAAGCATTCGAGCTCGCCGACGGAAGGACAAGCACTTGCAATGGATGGACGCTGTGGTAACAGATAATTTACGGCACTCCGTCGACTTTGTGGCACGGCGGTTCAAGTACAGGGGCCCACACATGAAGCCGGGCTCGCTGGTACTTGCCAGTTCCACTTGACTCTCGTTGCTTCATCTGCTCTTGTTCTTGTTGTCGAGGGCACTTAGCGCATTATTCTCATTATAATTCACTCTTTTCTGCCCAAATATGTAAAATTGTGTTTAATGCTCACGGAGAAACTCTGGCTAATGCCACAAATTTGGCTGCTCGTTTGGGAAAGTTGCTGGGAGGTCCGCGCAGCACGTCAAAGTGGGTTTTGAGAGACGGCAGGGATGGATGGGCACTGCGGGGGTGTCAGTGCGGGTGGCTCCGCGCCAGGGTTTCCTCCGAAGCGCTTTCCCAAAGTTGCGGGCGGGAAAAAAATTCCTCACGCCACCCTTGCAGGGTTAGACCGTGGTGTGACGATTCGCACCTCCGATTAGCACGGTTGGCTACATACGGTGCGAAAGATGTTCAACGTACATACGTACCTGCTACTGCTGCTGCTGCACATCAACTAAAATGTAAACGGGGAAAATCTATAACGGATGTGAAAACAAATACATCAACCTCCCTTCTGTATCTACACGTAAACATATTATATTTCTTGTCTATTGGCCGTTGGGCCTTCGAGACTTATCTAATAAAACAGCATTAGCTTACAGGTACATACTGTACCTTCGGGGTCTCATCGATAGAGTCAGGCTTGTTAAATAGATGACTTCTGGATTACTAGATGGCATTCATGAGAACACCTCATGAGGTTACCGGTTTAATCTCCCTGAACGGGAGTTGAATAAATGGTGTAAACCTCTTACACCCCCCCCCGCACCCCCACCACCGACTCTGACCACCCAGCAGTATAAATGGGTGCACTAGTTGTTCGATGGGCAGGTTGCCTGTGGTGGGGTCAAGTGTGGGCACTCCCAACTATTCCAAGACATCTGGTCAGCGTGGAAGAGTAGACAAAAATACTCTCTCTCTCGGGAGAGGCTTCTACAGGAGCTCTCTCTTGTGGAGGCCTTTATCTGCCAGCAGTGGCATGAGCAAAGCAATTGCAGGGCTGCACCTGTACCTGTCCGTGACCTGTCTGCGCCACTGACAGCGCCTAGGGAGGAAGACTGCCGCGCGCAGATGTTCCCAGACACGCGTGTACGGCGCCCGGTGCAAGCTACAACGAGGAGACGTGTTACAGCTGCCTTTTGTAACACAATTCCTCTGTTGCCATATGATTGCATTACAAAAGGATTTCCTGTGCTTAAAGGAATTGCCGGAATGACACTCTTTCCTTCCATCTGTCTGCTTGCTCCTTTCCCCCCATCACCCCGCCGCCCAATTTTTGTATAAATGCAACTAAATAAGGGCATGAGTATATAGCAACGTGTTTTTTTTATATATATGAGTGGTATGATGCACTATGGAGATTGAGTCGCGGTTGCGTGCATGCATGCATGCATACATTATTAAGCAGGGATATCCCATTGAAATCACAAGTGTAGAGAAACACGTACGGGTTAGTACATCTGTGCCGTGATGGTGGTGGTAGTGCTGGCCACAATTTTGGGGGCCCTAAGCGGAATTGTGGGGTCCCCCACTTTCAATTCATTAAATCACAGTAAAGGTGACAACAAGAGATATAGACACGAGATAGAGATGTGGTGAGATGGGACGAAGGGAGATGCAGAAATGATGGGGGTGAGAGATAAATGGGTGTTTTATGTACATTATTCCGTTATATTTACTGTATACGGATAAGGATTGAAGCTGATATTTGGTTCACCCCTGTATTATAATCCAGGGCCCTTTGAGCTGCTTAGGGCTCTAATCGTTTGTTTCTGTCTAGCAGTAGCACCACCTCCGGGTGTAGCTATCGAGTGCACAGGTAATATGATTGTACCAAGGCACGTGGGCCAGAGAGGCCCAGGCACCGGGATAAGAGGAGGATGAGTCCTATTTAACTCCTTTGCATCGCACCACACAACTCAATCGCTCGTCACCATCCCGACCCGGGGTTTTATTCAGGTTCACCTAATATTTGTGGCGGCCTCATGCATTGCACTGCGTGGGTAATCCCAGATTACGACGAAATAGCACCACCGATTAGCAACGGTTGGCTACGTACGGCGTGAAAATAGTTCAACGTACATACGTACACACTGCAAGGACTCGTGTGCGTTCAAATGTGGCCATGGAGGTTGTCAATTAGACGACCGCTGGAATGTAAAACTTGTAAAGGCGTGTAGTGGCAACGACCACAGCTCCCGCGACAAAATGTCACATCTCTCACGAGTCGTCACCGTTAGCCAAGTTTTATCCGCTGCGTGATGAAGATTTCTCATCCCCAGCTCCTTACAATTCTGCAATGCTACAATCCGTTTGTCTCCTGGCTATAGAGCGATCTCATGGCCCTCTCGAGTGCGTGCCATCCTTTGGCTTCTCTTCACTCACTCGTCTTATCCGTCGGCCAATATTGTTTCAGCCTTCGGCCATCAGCGACAAGACTTGCCCAAGTCCAATTACAATTCTCAACAGTCAGTGCGATGTCTCTAATTCGCCTTCATTCCCTGCTCCATCTGCTCTCGTGCGATTCGCTGGAGACTGAGACATAGGCGGATATGTGATACGGTCAGGTATGTGAACATCTAAAGGTATATTGAGATGAAAGAAGAGAACTCCAGATGAGACAGAAATCTAGTGAAGTGACAGCGATGCAGAGAAGAGACAATTATGAAGTTAGTTGGGAGGGGAGATGTACAGACAACATACGGAGAAGATTAATTTTATTTTCATGTTGTTCATGAACATTTTTATATTTCTTAGGAGTCTAATTATAGCCTCTATTCGACGGAGCTCTATTTTTTCATAAAAACGGGGCCCCCTTGAGCTATTTGGGTCCCCAATTACTTTGCTTGGTTTGCTTGTGAAGAGTGCCACGACTGGTGCCACTGACACGGAGAGGGCTCCAGAGATCCTCGTCACAACTTCTGGGTTGCACTCTCAACTTTAATTCTTTATTAAAACTAAACTATTTGTATTTTACTAGGCAAAGCCCACTGAGCTATATAGCTCTTTTTCAGAAGCGACCTGGCCACAAATGGTGAAGTCAATGAAGTGGCCTATCACGTGGACATCTTTTGCAGCCAAATACTCTCAACGGATGTTTTGGTAATGTGGAGGGAAAAACCGGAGGACCTGGAGAAAAATGCATGTGACCATGGGGAAAGAGACACACAAACCCCAAATATGCAGGAGGCGTCAGGGTTGGGATCGAACCCACGACCTCCTGCATACCAGGCGAGGTAGTTAACATCTAGCCACCGTGGCACCCTTTTGCACATGTTATTAGATCAGCTGGCTGAACATTTGGGACCATGAGTCCTATTGTGCTCTCCAGGTCACACAGAGATGTGCGTACTGCAGCCAGAATGAAGTTGGACGTGCAGTTCTTACATTTAAAATTAGCGTTACGTTACATCGGATTAGAAAACAAAAAACTATTGTCAAAAAAAGTGCAACGTCACATTGTAATAATGTGTCACATTGTAAGTGGAGCTTGTGAGAGTGAAAATAGAGATACAGTGAGGGAAAAAGTATTTGATGCCCTGCTGATTTTGTACGTTTGCCCACTGACAAAGAAATGATCAGTCTATAATTTTAATGGTAGTTTTATTTGAACAGTGAGAGACAGAATAACAACAAAAACATCCAGAAAAACGCATGTCGAAAATGTTATCAATTGATTTGCATTTTAATGAGGGAAATAAGTATTTGACCCCCTCTCAATCAGAAAGATTTCTGGCTCCCAGGTGTCTTTTATACAGGTAACGAGCTGAGATTAGGAGCACACTCCTAAAGGGAGTGCTCCTAATCTCAGCTTGTTACCTGTCCACAGAAGCAATCAATCAATCAATCAGATTCCAAACTCTCCACCATGGCAAAGACCAAAGAGCTCTCCAAGGATGTCAGGGACAAGATTGTAGACCTACACAAGGCTGGAATGGGCTACAAGACCATTGCCAAGCAGCTTGGTGAGAAGGTAACAACAGTTGGTGCGATTATTCGCAAATGGAAGAAAAAAGAACTGTCAATCTCCCTCGGCCTGGGGCTCCATGCAAGATCTCACCTCGTGGAGTTGCAATGATCATGAGAACGGTGAGGAATCAGCCCAGAACTACACGGGAGGATCTTGTCAATGATCTCAAGGCAGCTGGGATCATAGTCACCAAGAAAACAATTGGTAACACACTATGCTGTGAAGGACTGAAATCCTGCAGCGCCCGCAAGGTCTCCCTGCTCAAGAAAGCACATATACATGCCCGTCTGAAGTTTGCCAATGCACATCTGAATGATTCAGAGGACAACTGGATGAAAGTGTTGTGGTCAGATGAGACCAAAATGGAGCTCTTTGGCATCAACTCAACTCGCCGTGTTTGGTGGAGGAGGAATGCTGCCTATGACCCCAAGAACACCATCCCCACCGTCAAACATGGAGGTGGAAACATTTTGCTTTGGGGGTGTGTTTCTGCTAAGGGGACAGGACAACTTCACCGCATCAAAGGGACGATGGACGGGGCCATGTACCATCAAATCTTGGGTGAGAACCTCCTTCCCTCAGCCAGGGCATTGAAAATGGGTCGTGGATGGGTATTCCAGCATGACAATGACCCAAAACACACGGCCAAGGCAACAATGGAGTGGCTCAAGAAGAAGCACATTAAGGTCCTGGAGTGGCCTAGCCAGTCTCCAGACCTTAATCCCATAGAAAATCTGTGGAGGGAGCTGAAGGTTCGAGTTGACAAACGTCAGCCTCGAAACCTTAATGACTTGGAGAAGATCTTAAAAGAGGAGTGGGACAAAATCCCTCCTGAGATGTGTGCAAACCTGGTGGCCAACTACAAGAAACATCTGACCTCTGTGATTGCTAACAAGGGGTTTGCCACCAAGTACTAAGTCATGTTTTGCAGAGGGGTCAAATACTTATTTCCCTCATTAAAATGCAAATCAATTCATAACATTTTTGACATGCGTTTTTCTGGATTTTTTTGTTGTTATTCTGTCTCTCACTGTTCAAATAAACCTACCATTAAAATTATAGACTGATCATTTCTTTGTCAGTGGGCAAACGTACAAAATCAACAGGGTATCAAAAACTTTTTTTCCCTCACTGTAGGACAAAAGCACATGGCTGTTGTCAGCTCTGATGACAACGAGGCCTTGTGTAGAGAACTGCCAGTCTAATGGGGCTTGCTATGATTCTGGGGGAAAAATTAGTTTTCCATAGATTTTTGTACATTTGCTATTCGCACAATGGAGCAGGCGACGTTACGGTGGCATTGGAACCGTTCACATAGGTGATTGAAGAGTAATTTACATGTTTGGCAAACCAAAAAATTTCGGGCAGTGTTGCTGGTACGTATAGCTTGCTCTTTCTGAGGAACACCATGGCATCTTAAACATTGCCTGTAAAACAGGTGGCACGAATTACGATATAGTTATCACTCATTCATTCCCATTCATGCAATCCATTTATTATTTAATTGTCATCAGTTGTGCTTTCACCGAATTGACGCATCACAAATTTGCCCCACATTGCTTTCTCTCACCTATTTCATTCACCTCATCTCCACCATTCTATGCATGAGGCGCTATAGAAAGTCCGTTATGAGATAAGATAAGAAAACACCCGCAGTATTAACTAGGGTGGACGCTGGACTCGAACCGCGAACCCATGCATCAAGCGGCAAACGCGCAAATTGCTCCGTTATGTCACCACCCCAGTGATCTAAACTAAACAAAAATTTTTTTTTACAAGGTAAGGCCCATTAAGCTATACAGCTTTTTTTCAAAAGCGACCTGGCGATCACAAATGATAGCTAAACAGAGTGGCTCATCGTCGTGTGTAAATATATAGCAGCCACATACTCTAAGCGCGTGGTGGTGTTGATTCTGAATGTGGAGAGAAAAACCAGAGGACTCGGAGAAAAATCCACACGACCACGGGGAGAGAGAGACACGCAAAGTCCATATTCACAGCAGCAGGCGTCGGGAATCAGGATCGAGCCCACGACCTCCTGTATACAAGGCGAGGTAGTTAACATCACGCCAGCTCTTCACCTCGTTGCAGATGTCTGGGGGGTGGGTGTGAGTAGGTGGTGGGGGGGGGGGGGGTGTGCGTGGGTGGCAGAGGGTGTGCGTGGGTGGGTGTGGGTGGGGGGTGCGTGGGTGGGGGGGTGCGTGGGTTGCGGGGGGGGGGTGCGTGGGAGTGGGGGGGGGTGAATGGGTGGGGGTTGGGTGTGCGTGGGGGGGGGTGCTTGCCTTGTCAGCAGAAGAGAGCCGAGTCCACGGCTTGTCCGCCCTCCGGTCGTAGTCCTGAGCTGCGGCCACCTCCACGTAGTCGTTGAATCGGATGAGGATCCTCTTCTCGCGCAGCTCCTCCACCGTGGGTCTCTCGCTGAGCTGCAGGGGGGAGATTGGAGCATCACCTTCGACATCATCCAGATTGAAAACTCATCTCCTTATAACTGCTTTTTGCGTTTAGTGTTGTTGTCCCCCCCCCGCACCTCCGATTAGCACGGTTGGCTTCGTGCGGCACAAAAGAAGTCCAACATCTTACCTGTATATAATTGTGCATCTCTACATAAAAACTAAATATTTTACAGTCAAAGGTAGCCAGGTGGCTCAGAGGTCAGAGGCCCTGGGGGGTTTTAATCTGAGCGATTGCCTGTGATTAATCTGCATTCTCAAGTGTAGTGAGTTGATGGTCTCTGTCCACATCACCAATGATTGAACAATACAAATTGTAATGCAATAAATGTTCGGGCAACAATTGCATTTAACGCAACAGTGAGATAATGTATGCGAAATAATATTCATAAATAATATTACACACTGCCAAGTCATTGGACTGATTTCCTTAACCACAATTCGAAACGCATGTGCCTTGGCTGATGATTATTAAGATCCAAATCACTAACCAATGCATTAAATTTCCCCAATCACACAAATCTAGCACATCGCAAATCAGTCTTAATCCAAGTGTGGTAATCCGAGATAGGCCGTGTCACCTCATCCGGAAGATCGCAGCTGGATTAACATGAATCTGTTAATATTTTCTACTTTTATAGGTCCAAAAAGTCACAACAAAACCAACAATCTTTTGCATATCATATCCTGGAGATCTCCAGGCCTGGTGCTTATGCGGTTTGTGGCCTGGAGATCATTGTGGCCTCAGCCCTGTTGTGAGACTTTGCGTGAAGGGGGGCATACAGAAATCTCAAGTGAGCACGAAACAGCCAATGTCAAAAGATCTTTAAACAAACGTTAAAGGCGCATGAGAATGAGTAACGATGTGACCTGCTTTTGTCCGTGATGCATTCTGCCCTGGCTCTCACCCCCTGCGTGTGCGGGGAAATGCCGCGAAGCTCGTCGCACAATCGACACAGGCGTTGAACACTGTGGCGACTTGTTTGGACGTGCCGATATAAAAATATTAAAGAGGCGGGGGGGGGCTGACTCTTCAACAGAAGAAGCTCAGGCTCCCCACCGCCCCCCCCCCCCCAGCCCCCCTGTTGGTGCTCCAGGGCTGTGTGGCCTGCCCGCCCAGTAGGTGTGCCATGCAGAGGGCATTGGAGCGCGGGGCAACGTGGGATGCAAAGGTGTTCCGGCGCGGCGAGCACCGGAGCGAAGGAGGCAGGCAGGTGGAATGTCGGGCAGCACTCTCTTACTTTCCTCGAGAGCCTGCGCTTGATTTCCCTTTTCTCCTCTTCACGCTCCTCAGCTTCGTTCTTCTCTGAGGGGGGGGGGGGGGAGGAGGGGGATACACAAATAAATAATGTCATCACCATAACTCTGATCCAAATAACGTCGTTTTGCATCTTTGTTTTGAAGGACGTTCCTGCTTTTAAATGTTTGTTTAATGTAGAAATGTACTAGACGCACGCACGCACAAAACCCAACAATGTCTAGGGGCTATGAGTTAAATTAGATAACGTTTGAAATGTTAGCTATTTGGGTGAGACCCCCCAAAAACTTACATAACAGCCCATAGCATTCCAGTGAAACACTATTGGAGGAAGGAGAAAGTACCCCACAAGTGTTTGTGAACATCCTTCACAAACACTTTATTTGCGGTTTAATAAGATTTGTTTACGTAAAAAAAACACATTTTAATTCGTGTATATGTCCACACACTGCCCTTTTGTTAATCCACTGTCAGACGAGGTCTTGCACACACCATGTGTACCGTGGGGGTGATTTGACCATATTTCACCACGCAAGTCAGAACACATTGAAGTCGAACTTAGAATGCATCGTAAAGGTTTTTTTTGGGTTAGATCGCGTCAGTATAAATGTGTCGTAATCCTCCACCACCCGACACAGCCAATCAGAAAGGGATTTGTCACGTAAACAAAACGCGCCAATTAGTTACTACTTCAGCCCACCGGTGTGTTGGAGAGTAAATCCACAACATTTACAATCTGAGTAGTACGACGTTTCACTGGTAATTACATTCATCAGACGTAAATGTTTCTGCAGCTTGAGCAGGAAAGCTTCTTTGGCAAGTTCCGAGCATGTTGAGAGAAACGTTGGACATCATGCCGGACAGAAACACGCAGTGCAACCTAAAAACACATCTGGAAACGTATTTTAACCTTACTTCTTGCTCACATTTTAGCGAAACAAATCAGCTCTTCACAAATGGAAGCAGCGTTATGAAATTTCAATAAGGCCTGAGGTGCACAATTCACAATGCCATTCTTCGTTGCAAACATTAGTTGTTCTCAATGAGGGATATATAAAGTGTGATCAGGGCTTAATTATATCCAGGTCTCTCTAGATCGGCGAGTCGGAATATATTTCCGCACATGGCACATCTATTATACTTCTCGCTATGGCTGTGGCGACTAGTCATGCGCGTGCCACATCCCCGGTATACTGGAGACTTGGATAATATTAATTGAGAAATTAAGCCATGAGCGTAATCCTTGCATTTTCCTTCTTCTAAGCTGGGTATAAAATGCGGCTCGATTTATGGCTGCATGGCTGGAATGGTGTTACCAACCCATATCCACCAGAAGCTTTATCTGACCCCATAAGAATCGATGCAGAAAACTCGTACAAATCCGACTTACAATGGCATCGATGATATCCGAAGGCATGTATAATGCTTATTAAGGGAGTTTAGGTTTAAATTATTTCAAAGGCTCTTTTCATCTCTCGACTCAGGTCAGACGGCACTCAGATCTGAGCACTGAAAGGCACTTAAGTGACTCTAGCCTTGCCTAGGTTTTATCGCAGCAGAGTAAGCAATCCCCTCTCCGGCAACCTGCCAAACACCCGACCCTTCCTCCTTCCCCTTCGTTGCACGCACACACACATTCACACACCCATCACAGTCCAGCCGTCCTCCACGCTCATGTACAGTACAACAAAACGGGCAACCAAATGCACACGCCCCCAACAAAGACGAATATTCCCTACTAGCCTCTTGCCCTTCCAAGGACGGGTGTGTTGCAGTAAATCTGAAACTTGCAAGCGAAAAGCACAGACTACGACGTGATGTTCATTGCATCAACCCGTGTGCAATTTGTAAGGCCGCGGTGACACAGACCTATTTCCATTTAAAGGTTATAATCCCTTGTTCATCACGACGTCCTTTTTACTTCGATGTCTCAACAGCGTCACGGAGATCACGTGATGACGTGAGGGTTCTGCCTTTGTAGTGAGGGTTGTGAGTTGACGCCGAGGAGGGGGGAGGAGGCGCCTCGCCCCCCCATGTGGAGTGGGGGAGGGGGGGTCCATGTGGAGGACGTCACCTTTCGATTTAAAGCTTTCGTGACTGCAGGGATTCATCTTCTTGGTTCTTTCGGTAAAGTCGCGTAGAATGGAAATAAAATAATAAAAATAGTTGCAGTTCTTTAGCGTCAATATACTAAATGCCTCTGTTGATATGTAAACTCTGACTTTAACATAGCTACTTCCGTGACCAGTTACATGCTAATCCCTCACACTAACATCATCCTAATCTTCCAGTTACATGCTAATTTCTGACTTTAACACCCTGCTAATCCAACACATTAACACAGCTACTTCAATGCTAAATTCTCCTGTTTGATATGTAAACTCCTTTGTCAAGGCGCTCTGCTCCTCCCACCCAGCTTAAAAGACGCTGCCAAGCTTAGCAGTGTTCATTGGAGCGCTGTCGTCCCGACAGTTCTGTTCCTTCACCTGAAGAAGGATACTTGTGCTGTGGCCGAAACGTCGTGAGAATTTTATTTAATTATGTTTTATTTTTATTATTTTATTTCCATTCTACGTGGTGACTTTACCGAAAGAACCAAGAAGAGGACGTCGCCTGTTCATGATTAAATGAGGGGGGCTGGCTAACGTGGAATGACGTCACGCGCGGGACACACAGACAATCTTGGCTCATTATAGTAGTAAATATTGTAGAGCCCAGGGGTCAGCAACCTGCCGCTCTTCAAGGACCGCTTCGTGACGTTGCCATCTCGTGTTCACGCGCATCTGTGGCATTAATTAGAAACTTTAAAAATTGATCTTTTTGTGATCGACCATTTAGTTGAACACCATACGAAGAGCACGTCTCTGCAATCGTGTGCGGATAAAAAAAAAAGGTCCCTTGAAGTGATATCGGAAACTATTTCGATGAAAACCTCATTCCGTGGGACGATTGCTAACACGCGGGGTTCCGATTGTATTCTTAATCTCACGATATGACACCCCCTGATGGCACATTAGAATGAAATTGGGAGAAGAAACCCCCCCCCCCCCGACCCCAAAATATGCACTACGGAGAATAGGGAATTGCCACACGTCGGAGGGAGGGCCCTGTGATAGAATGACTATCGATCCAGTGCCAACAATTGTACGGGCTTCACAGGTGCAGCTGGGCATCTCTCTCTTGGGAAATAACATTGGGTCGTTGGCACTATATGTATATATTTTTTCAGTGCTGACACGACTTCCAGAGTGAGAGCATCGATACGTAAGTAATAGGCAATCAGGTATTGCTCTTGGCCAATGTGACGTGTGCTTAGATCAATTAATGGAAATTGCAATGCTCAAGGAAGGGTCGAAGTCTATTATGGCCACTAGCAGAGGGGAGAGCTGTGCTTTAAACGTGCACGGTGCATTTCCCCCCCCCCCTTTAATTTGAATAAAAAAAAACATGTGTTTCTGTTTTCAAAATAACGTCTGTTGGAAAAAGAAAACCAGAGAGAAACCTGCGGTTCTTGGACGACAATTTGGAAGGAGGAAGTGTTCATTACATCAGCGACGACAACACCCAACACTCGAAATATTCCACTCGCGCGAAGTTTACAAAAACATAAAAAAACACAGCAGTCAGAATCGTTATTCCAGTGGAATGTTAAGTCATCTTCCAATTTGTGCTTCAGTTTAAAATACCCAAGTATTTTTCTTTGTTAAGTGTGCGACCATAGTGGCCACCCAGATCGCAGAGCTGCGGGGAGCGCTGGAAATTTTGGTCGTTTTTCAGTGAAAGGTGCAACTCTGATATCCCTTGCTCACACCACTGCCGGGAGAAGGAACTCACCGAGATGCAATTTTTTTTCAGCCTACTCTTCCACGCCGGCCATATGTGCTGGCCAACCGGCCTGCCGATCGATGAATTGTGTTGCACCCATTTTATACTGCTAGGTGGGTTGGGGCAGACAGGTTTAAGGAACTTGCACCAACGTTTTTCCAAATATTTTGTTTAACTAGGTGAGAAGTCATGGGAGCAACCTGGGGCATTGGAATCTGGAAAATTTGCACCACGATGCCGGCACACAGATGGCGCCAGGGGAATCTTGAACGTCCGCTGTGAAGCAGACGGCAGCGTATTACCATGGCCATTATGGTATTAATCAGGGCGGCCGCTGGATTAGAATCTTCAACCTCTGCAACAAGCGGCGAAAGCTTGTTTAGCACGGTTGGCATCATACGGTGTGAAAGAGTTCAACATAATACTGTACATACAAAGCGATAACACTGGGCCGTGTGTCACCGCCAACGCTTGAGATGTTGACAGCCGCATACGTGATGGGTGACATTTTTCTGCCACTGCCACATTCCAGATTTCAGTGTGGCCACAATCGAAAATTCCTTTGAGCAGTCAGAGTAAAATGTTAAACATTAGTTGAGGTCGCTCTGCGTGCAAAAGAACCCACCCATAAATCCTGTTATTTATTTATGTTTAAGAGTTTAATTCACACGGAATTGCCAGTATCTGCCTTTATTGCAGTGAAAAAGACGTGCAGCCTTGTTGAACCATTGTATGGCTGAATTATTGCACAGAGCTACAACCCTGATGTGCGCTTACACGTATCCTAGCATTCTTTGCTTCCGACCGCACAGAGCAGTTTAAAGCAGAGATTTGTGTTTTTCCTGCGTTTCCTCTCCCTTGCAATGGTGGGAGCCTGCGAAACCACTATGCACTGCAAGCTCCAACCCACCAAAGGGAAGGTTACGAAAATTTAATTACTGCACCTCTCTATGGCACGCCGTTGTTGTCAGCCTGTGACTTGCTCGGTATAAAGCCTAGGAAGCTCTTTGATATTCAGGGGATGGTGTTGCATGCCTGTATTCCAGCACTGTGGAGGTGAGGGTTTGTGCCTCATGCGGACGTTACGAAAATCCATTCCCACGGGCTTTCCAGGAAAAGGCGGTACAGCTAAGCGTGGCCTAATATCCGTGTGTTCCATCTGCATGGTATAGAGCGTTGTCCCCTCACATGCGTGACTTTTCTCCAGGTACTCCAGTTTTTTCCCACATGTATCAAAATAAATTGGCATAATTATCTATATATATGCATGCACCTCCGTGTGTTGCGGAATGTGCAGCGTTGTGAGATGCAGTTCGAAAGGGTGACGTTATTATTATTCTGTACATTTTAGTCTCGCCATCTCTTCCGCCGTCCTATTAATAATGCTAATTTGTAATGCGCACGATTTTCACTTTGCCCACAGGCAGCGACCCTGAGGCGTGGAGCCCACCTCAGAGATCCGCTCAGCGAAAGCAAAATAAAAGGATGTATTTTTTTGAGAAGGCGCTTAAAGGTAGGCAAGGAGACAGCTCTGCGACTGTGAAGGGGGATGGTCGGCTCTCCGGGTGGAGGGGCCCCGACAACAGAGAGGCGATGCGCGGCGATCGTGGCCCCGACTCTCGGTGTCGAGAGTAACTCCTGGGTAGAGCTGCGGAGAGTTCTGGCGGTGGCGGTTCGGGAGCAGGGCGTCACGAGGTCTGAGAGGTGCGGAGCGCGACGGATCCTGTAGGCGGTGTGACAGAGGAAGGCGATTTTGAAGGTGATTCTGATGGGGATTGGGAGCCAGTGTGGGGCCCGGAGAGCGAAGTCAAAGGTCAGACGAGGTCGGTGGGAGGCGAGGACAGTGCATGCGAGGTGGTTTTGTAGGCGTTGGAGTTTCTTTAGGTTGTTTTGTGAGGACCGGGTAAGTACCGAGTTGCAGTAGGCTTCCTCTTCTAATTGGTTTCCCTTTTTCTCAGCCTCCACTCCGTAGACAAATTTGTCCCATCATCTCTCGCCAGATGTTCTCATGATGTGTCCCCGCAACATTTCCTTTTGAGTTATTCAGAATTTAATGACAGCGTCGGAGACCCCTGTGCCTTTATGTATCATCGGCCAGCAGGTACACGTGGAACGTGGTGGGATGTGTGCGATGGAGGGAAAAGTGAAACGCGGCATTACATTTGCTGCGGCATTCACAGGTCACATGCAACTTGCTGACCCGTTTCACGGACAACCGTGAAAAAGAGCTTCATAGCTCATCGGATTCCTCAAGCCTCAATAAAGATTCCAATTCTGACTCTTGTTCATGGGGACATTCATTCGTCTGCAAACTTTTAGGCACTCATTCTGCGTCAGAAATGATCTCCTGGAACTGGTTTTGTTGGTGGTTCATTTTCACTTCACTTACCACCATTGCCATTAGTTTATTTACAATGCCCTTTTCGCAGCAACCAACGTATCTATTTACTTTTTCTTTCTGAGAAAAAAAAACAAATCGGACCACAGCCACGACAGTGATGCGAGCGATGGTTCATATTTCTTTGACAACTATTCAAAATAACACGACAATTAAAAGCTGCAAAGTTCAAAGTGGAGCAGTTGTTGTGACCCTACAGGCAACTGTATTCTGCTGCACAAATAGTTCATTATTTGGGCAGCGCCTTGCTCGAGGCGCTATATAAATTAAAATAAGCGAATTAATAACGTCCTTTATTTTCCCAGGACTGCCTCACTGAGCCTCAACATTATATTCAAGGAGGGTTCTGCAATTGAGGTGTTTCACCAATTCAATATTTGATTGTTTGGCAAATAGAAGGAAACTCGGGAGCTTTGGGGAAATCCCAAGCATGTGAGGGAGGTAACTTTTCAAAGCTTCACACGGATACATCCAAGAACCCATCAGTGTTCTGCCATCTCATATGGCCACCTTCCAGCACAAGTCTTGAAACACATGGTATTCCCAGGAAGTCTTCCATCCAAGTACTAACCGGGCTCCGCCCCGCATGAATTAATTTCTCACTGAATATTTTCTGGGATGCTGGTCGACTGGAGTAGGTGGCACGTAAGTAGTAGTCGTAGTGGTGGTCAGAGCCATAGCCAGAGGTATGCTGGATGTAGTGTGTCTGATGCAGAAATATTTTCCAGGTCTCCAAACCCGGGCAGAGCTGAAATTAATCCCTACCACCCAGTGAAGCTTCAAAGATAAGTGGGCGCATTCAGGGTGACATTATCTCTCTGCTTTGTTCTCGAGTATTTGGCATCAGGTCAAAGTTTCGCGCCACGTGCTGGGAGCTTCTTAAATTCAGTGGCGAAATATTGACTACCTCGCCTGGTATGCAGGAGTTCGTGGGTTCGATCCCAACCCTGACGCCCGTATATTTGGAGTTTGCACGTTCTCCCTGTGGTCACGTGGATTTATCTTCGGGTCCTCTGGTTTTCCCCTCCACATTTAGAATCAACGTGCGTTCAGCGTATTTGGCTGCTACAAATTTCTACATGATAAGTCACTTCCCTCAGCTATCATTTGTGGCCAGGTCACTTCTGAAAAAGGACTATTTAGTTCAGTGGGCCTTGCCTGGTAAAATAAAAAAATGTTTAGCTTCATGGTTTAGTTTTAGTTGCTGAAGAAGCATCCAGTACGTGCAAAGGGCCAAAGCGGTAACAACGCGGAAACAAGGAACCGTACAGAACAACTCACACGGTAGTATTCTGGTCGGGCGGGGGGGGGGGGGGGGGGTACGGTCATTGCCGTGTCGATACTCACGCCGTAGGATGTTTCTCTGCTCCAGCTCCTCGGCTGTGGGCCTCAGACTCAGCCTCCTGCACACAGGGAAAACCGCGACAGTCCGGTGAGAGAGACGCCATCTCCTTACAACTCGGGCTTAAGCTAAATCATTTTTGACAATTACAAGATGATACACATTCTCGAGATACGTCGATCATCACAACATCAGTTTCCTGTAACTTTGTAATTGCGTTTATTAATTTTTATTGCATTATTTTGGTACTACGCTGTACATTCAGTGAAACTAAAAGCGTGAATAAGCATAACTCCATTCTCTGTCTCTACATATACAAATAAAAACACGTTTTAATCCATCGGTCTCTTGGATTTCCAGAGCAATGTCATTATTCAACTGCATTTGAGTAAGCAAACTTAGGACCTTTCGTGACGTTTTGGGTCTCACCAGCAGTCAGGCTTGTTAAACAATTTCTCCAGGGCTACCGGATGTTATTGGCACAAGTACTCCATCTAAAGATTTATACACGTTCTTTAACTGTAGTTCATGCAACGAAACCCTGCAAAGAGTCTTCTAATCCCTGCAACATTACAATCTACAATTTCTTACATGCACAACCACGATAAATCATGAAATAATTAACTTATCTATGAAAATAATGACGTCATGTAACATCCCCATCAATTACTGTCAATTACTCTGGGAAAAAAAGTTTTGCAAAGAACCACTGTAATTTTTCACGGGTGATAGGTAATAATTAATCATTGTAATGGACACGTTGGTCATTTATAAGCATTCGTCGCCAAAATGTAGTTTTCATCCGTAACAACAATCACGATCTGACGATGAAGTTTTAAACGGACGACACGATTATCGTGGACCTTATTTTGTGCGACGTGTCTTGAACTAAAAACTAAACTCTTTATTTTATCAGGTAAGGCCCACTGAGCTATGTAGCTCTTTTTCAGAAGCGACCTGGCCACCACAAGTGATAGCTCAACGGAAGTGGCTTCTCAACACGTGTGAATTTATAGCTGCCAAATACTCTAAAACGTGTTGTTGATTTTTAAATGTGGAGGGAAAAACCGGAGGACCCAGAGCAAAATCCACGCGACCACGGGGAGAGAGACACGAAAACTCCACGTATACAGCAGGCATCAGGGTCAGGATCGAATCCACGACCTCCTGTATACCAGGCGAGGTAGTTAACATCTCCTAGCCACTGCGGCGCCCTCTTAATTTTGGCACATCGCGGCAACCCTCATTGCAACCGCAGCAGCCTCCTCTCCACCTTTCCTCACCGCGAATCACAGCTGCTGGGCTTCCACACGGTCCTCGAGTAAACATTTATACCGCTAATGGCCACGTTCACGTTCACACGCTGAATGACAATGTACAGACAGCCCTTTCGTCAAGCCACTGCTGGATGAAGGCTTCCTTGTGCCGTGTCAGCCATGGGCGTGTGTGCGATGTACTTCACAATGATGGGCAGTGCAGGTTGATTCAGAATGTGACCCAGGACCGGTTCAAAGATTATTCACAACTCATGTTTGCCTTGGTTGTCACTGCGTCGTTGCTCTTGACAGCCAAGGAATGATATGGAAGGGGGGGGGGGGGGTGGATACGTCCGCTGTTGGAGATGGAGCAATGAAATCAGCTCGGTGTGCAGGTATTATGACAATGATATGACATAGTAGGATCACGGCTTGGCGAGGCATCCGTCCAGCAGTGGCGAAGGGCAATGCTGAACATTGGGCAGTCATCGAACATGGGTCGCCGGATTCACGGTGCAGTGCGTCAACCACTGCGCCACTGCTCCCCGACATGGGAAATACGCGACTGCGCTTGTGTATGGCACTGTGCGTGCTGGTTACGTTGCATTGCCGTCACTTCTCATAATCCCTTGCGCGGGGTAATTTAAGACCCTCTTTGCGTCATTGAAATTTAGTGCCGATTTAAACAGTTGGGCAGAGCTTCTCAAACTCGGCAGCTGCCGAGGACTGTGATTTTCCACAGCCTCCAAATGGACAAACTATCCATGAATTCCATTATTCTAAGCATACAACGACAAAGGACCCCCCCGTATAGCCTTTAATAGACTGATGGGGCAAGTGCTGTTCGTGAGCGCCGATGAAGGCCGGAACGGTACATGAGGGGGTGGGTGGCCAGCACCACGCCCAGCCGCCTTTGTCTCCCCAGTGGCGAAGTTTACACAATGCACTAGGTACTCATTTGAGGCTGAGTCGGCCTAGGGGAGGCCCAGGACCGGTTCCAATAATCACTGGTGTTGGCCGTGAATAGAACTCGGGTCGCCAGGTTCGAAGCGCAGCGCGCTAACTGCTACACGACTGCTCTGCTTCATCCCCACTGCACACAAAGACAAAGATCCCCCGTAAAGCCTTAACAGACTGTAGGGGCAAGTGCTGTTAGCGAGCAGCACCTATGCGGGCCGGAACGGTACACGAGGGGGTGGGTGGCCAGCACCACGCCCAATCGCCTTTGTCTCCCCAGTGGCGATGTTTACTACACACCGCACCATTTGAGGCTGAGTCGACCTAGGGGAGGACCAGGCCGTGAATAGAACTCGGGTCGCCAGGTTCGAAGCGTAACGCGCTAACCGCTACACGACTGCTCTGCTTCATCTCCACTGCACACATACCCAGTCACACACACACACACAGAAGTGCTCAAACAAGTGAGGAATCACAATAAAAAAGTCAACAGTGGAAAGCAGTCTGCAGGTGTCGTTAGAGTGGCAAACGCATCATCCCAAAAGGGTCAAATGACTCAGCAAGAAAATAAGTCAGACTTCCCTTCGCGCTTGCTGCTGCTGCTTGCCTCGGAAGATCTGAACCCTTTATGCTGAACGGATGCTGACAGATGGAGTTTGTGGCGGGAGATGCTTTAGCAGAGCCAGCCACTGTCGGAAACAAATTGTTTCTGGATTTTGGCTATTTGTTATCCGATTCTCAGCCGAAAGACACACACATAGCCATGTTCGTATATATGTTTTATTAGCTCGTCGTCTTTCAGCACGTGAAGAAATAATCCGCTCCCTCAAATGTTTGTTTCTGTGCTTACGAAGTTTGACCTTCTGTTTTGAAAACGAACCTCATCACAATTTTAAGCACGGCTCTTTCAACCTTCAGAAATGTTCAATGATAATGCATAAATTAGGGCTTTTTGTGTTGCGTTTTAACACCTGATCGCATTGCCGCCAGTGTGGCGGCATGGATTAAAATTGCAAACCTCGTGTGCTCGCCACTGGACACTGCGGTGTTTGTGCAGAACCATTAATGCCAAACAAGGGGATAAGAGTTATTGCACTGTGCATTGTTCCTGTACTCATGATACTTTTCTTTGCTCTGTCAGGTTCGTAAATAACAAACAATACTACAACTACTTGGATTTATAGGGCATCTAAGGTTTACTGCTGGGGTGTCACGGTTATCTCAATGGACTTGAAATGCAGACGTTGCTTGGTTTGACCCTCCGTGCGTCCGTTTAAACAACGGTGCAAGTTCCCTCAATGCCCCACCCCTCTATCCACCCAGCAGTATAAGTGGGGCAAATGAGAATTTATCAAGCAATTTTTTTTTCCTTTTCAAGGAGAAGAGATAGTCATAGGCAGAGGAGCAGAGGAAGATCTGGAATTGGGACTTGAATGGAAGCAGGTTGCTGACCGCGCGTATGGCCGGCTGGAGGGAGGTCCACACCTCAGGGGCCAGCAGAGGAGAAAGAGTGACCTGCCACAGAGCAAAGGCTCACCCGAAGCTTCGAGTGGTTGCTGGAGTGGAACGCGCATAACGGGTTGCACAGTGAAACGAGAAGGGACACTTAGCATCAATGATGAACATGCTACTTGACATGGTAGTGATGCAGATGTTCCTGTCATAATAAATGCGGGTAAAACTTAAGGAGCTGTACAGCTTTTGGGTGATGAAGTGGTGGAAATTGGAAGTTGTTCTTGCCCTGGTCATATTTAAAATGTTACGAACATAAACACCGCTTATTCCAGAACAAACCTCTTCTTGTAGGACGGCAACAAAATATAATTTCAGACGATCTAGGAAACGTGCTCAGATAAAATGTTACTGATCACATTGTGTTATGTTTGGATTGTCTCACACCTCCTTATACACAATCTCTCCTCTTTCTCATGAATCTGTATCTCTTTGGGGTTTTCCCCCAATCCCCTTTTTCCTCCGCCTTCCTTGCCAGCGCCCTTCTCTAACTATTTCTCTGTGCGTGGTCCCTTGACCTTTGCGTGACCCCCCCACCCACCCACACTCAATCCTGGCCGTGTCCCTGCACGAACTCTACTCTCGTTACGAGAGTTGATGGATTGGGGCTCGAAGGCGAATTAAGAGACACCATTGACTGCTAAGAATCATAAAGGGATTCATCTCTTGATATATATTTTGTCACTGCTGCTCCCTATTCTTTTAGCTCTCTATGTGATATATTTGTTTGCAGAATCAGAATCTTTAATTATCCTGGAGAAATCCAATGAGCTATGGAGCTATTTTCCCACACATGTCCAGTAATTTGTGTGCCCTGGTTCCTTGCTTCTCTGTACCTATTGCTGTAAAGCGTTAATTAAAAGTGAGTTTGGACAGATCTCATCACGAGAAATGTATTTGACGAGCGAGTGAATGGCAGCCAGAGGATAGGATGCACTCGAGAGAATGACCAGTGCACAGAGCTGGCGATGTGAAGGCCTTCATCCAGCGGTTGGAAAAACCTATGGTGATGATGGCTAATGAGAGATGTGACATCTTGGCGGGCAGATGCGGTCGTTGCCACCACACGCCGCCCATACAAGTTTACATTCCGGCGGCATGTAAAGCGACAACCTCCGTGTCCAGATTTGAACACACACGACGTCCTTGCAGTAAAGCGTCATATTCGTAGTAATCTTCGATTTCCCACGCAGTACAATGCATATGAAATTCATCTGAATGCAACCCCGGGTCAGGACGTTGATAAGCGATCGATTTGGGTCACCATATGGCAGGAAGTATATTAAGGTAAAACTGAGCCGCACATTTCAGTGGCATCGCACGTTGGCAAGGCCCCCCCCCCCCCAATGCCATGAATTAAATGGGACCCCCCTCCCCATGTTCACCTCGCCTCTGGGCTCCTTCAGCCTGTGGGTTCTGGTACAGTTTGCGTGACCTGCACGCTCGATAGCTACGCCTCGTGGCAGCGCCTGTCGTAAGCAACCTAAGAAAACGTTTGGGGCCCCAGGAGCATCTAAAAATAAGTCCTGGATGAAAAATACTGCGTGTGGTGAAACGAATATCAAATTGAATACCAATCATAAAATATAAAAATGGATATTAACATTAAAAAGCAATTTAATCTCTCATGCCGATCTTGCCCTTAAATCTCCCATTTATTTCCATCTTTGTCGCGTGTCTACGCCTCTTTCAATTCGGTTTCACGCTCACCTGTATTTCTCCTCTCATCTCACGAAGGCTCAATCTTTCGTCCACATTTTCTCTCATCCCACTGCAATTCCTATCCGCCGTCAATATCTCTTCTGCCATCTCAACGGGAGTTTACGAATTGAAAGGGTGGCTGCGTGCGAGCCCAAAAACTATTTCTGCTTAGAACCTGCCACCCCCCCCCCCACCGCCCCGATTTGCCAGCGCCACCACTGGCCTCGCCGTTGCACGAACCTGACGAGCTTGTGGCCAATGCTGCGCCTCTTTTCCTGCCGCTCCTGCTCCGTCTGCCGCGGCAGGATGTTCTTGTCCTCCAGCTCGCGCGCTGATGGACGGTTGCGGATTTTGAGCGCCAGGGAGTCGCGCCGCCCTGTGTTCGCCAAAGTTCCTGCGGGTGCCCAAGAGCGGCGAGCAACAAGGAAGAGTTCGCGTTGTACCAAGTGTCACCTCGGAGTTACATCGGAGCAAACACACACACACGACATTGTCGTAAACGAGCTAAACGTGAAGAACAGAAGCCCAGAGTGCTACTCTGCACAAAACACGAATGCCCCAAGGCCACGAATAAGACAACGCTTGGGCGCCTCGGTAGCGAGATGTTAACTACCTCGCCTGGTATGCAGGAGGTTGTGTGACGCCTGCTGTATTTTTGGAGTTTGCATGTCTCTCCCTGTGGTGGCGTGGATTTTTCTCCGGTTTTTCCCTCCGCATTTAGAAACGTACATTTTCAGTATTTGACTGCAATAAATTTCCACGTGACAAGCCCCTTCACTGAGCGATCATTTGTGACCAGGTCGCTTCTAAAAAAAGAGCCATGCAGCTCAGTGAGCCTTACCTGGTAAAATAAAAAAATAGTAATAGCAAACAAACCAGGGACACACATGAATTGTGAAACGCATTTCAACGTCAGTTTGTGCTCGTATTTAACTGTTGCGCTCACGCCAGATGCACAGTGCGTTTGTAGGACCACGATGAGACCGTGGGGTTGGGATGGTGGCTCTGCCGGGCGGTGCGCATCTCAGCCGGAAGAGCTGAGGTCCTTCTCGCGATGGTTTCTAGTCTCCCAAGTTTTTGGGAAATGTTTCGATCATTTTTTCCAGGTTAAGTCCACGAAAGCAACACGACTTTATGCCCACGTTTAATCATGATGATGGGGGGATGGACAGAGCTAATGCAACAACGTTTGCACCCTCTCAATAGAAAAGTGCCTCTGGAAGGTGATATCTCAAAACTACTACTGACATTACTCCACGTACCTCTTACCTACACTAGGCAATACATTTTAGTGTATGCCCTACGATAGAGGAGTTTGTCTCATGGCATTCAAGTGGGTTTTTTTGTTACCTTGGCGCTGGAAATATGCCAGATGCTGTAAATATCTAATTTCACGAGATGGAATTTTGTGCTACAGTTGTCAGAAGTACGTTGGACCTCTTAACCACCCAGTACCTCAGCAACCCATAATGTGTGGCTAAGAGTGGGATAGTATGTATGTGGAACTTCTTTCGCCCCGTACGTAGCCAACCATGCTAATTGGAGGTGCGGGGGAAGAACGACAAACTAAAACACAAAAAATATTTTTCAAGAAATCAGTTTTCAATCTTGATTTAAAATGCATAGCTTCAGTGGCTTCCTAATATTGGAGGGAAGAGCTTTTCAGACGGCCGCAGAAGCGCATCTGAAAACGCGCGATGCGGTGACCGTCTTTGTTTGACGGCCAGCCAAAATCCGCTGCGAGGAATGCGAGCCTTAGAAGAAACAAATACTCATATGAGACCCCCATTAGGTTACGTAATATAAGCAGCTGTAAACATATGAGTTTTCAATCTAGATTCAAATCTAGATAGCTATCAAGAATGCAGGCGGTGCAAATGCACCGAAACGCCCAGGGCCAGAGGGGCCGAGGCGCCGGGTCACATTTAATTCCTCACACCGGGGCCCACGCCAACCACCCTACACGCCACTGGGCTGACATTGTTGACATTGATCATGAACAGGCATTTGTTGGTCGTTCACTTTGAGAGAGAGAGAGAGATAACGACGCAGAGACCCGAGGAACCACAGACAAGCGGGGAGGCAGCCTCAATATATTTTCCCTCAATATATTTTGCGTTTTATCGGATAATTCATTATAACGTTTACACTTGGGAGGAAAACCGGAGCAACATAAAAAAAAACCCTGCGTGCGACGGGGGAAACAACAGATCTATCCCGTACAGATGGAACAGGTGGAGTCCACATTGTTTCAGTACAGTATTCCCGAGTTATTCGCGAGGGATATGTTCCGGAGATGCTCGTAAATAGCAAATTTCGCGGATCATGATATTGGCCTACGAATATCACCTTAAATAAACACATAAAGAAGCTGTTAAATACATGAAAATTATAATAATAACACTTCTCTCTATCTCATCACCTTAGCTCTCATCATTTAATCTCATCACTTTCTTTCCTCCCTCTCTCTTTCTCTCGATGCAGTCGTGCAGATGCGATTGGTGGATAGCAAGTTTGCGAATAAGGGAATCACTGTACTGCTTTCCTCTGGCCAGCCAGGACATGACACCTCAGTGCCCATGGGAGGGACATTTCAGAACATTTGTCCAATCTACCAAACCATCGCCTCCAAAGTTGTGGATCACAGGCGTACGTCACAGCCGCCCGGCAATCTTGCACTTGAGCACAAACATGAAAAGACTTAAAAATTATGTACGTAGGTAATATAGCTAAGACATGAGCAGCTTTTTGTTGTTGTTCTAAATGAGCAATTATTTATTTTTGGGAATGCATCGGTACTTTTTTTGCTGGTGGATTCTTTGGATGTGAAACCCGGGCATCATAATTCGCGTTCATACGCATACAATAGAAGCATGTGCATCCACACACAACATATTCTCGTAATGCTTTGTGATGCAGAGCACAAATTGATCAACCATCAAGTAGACAAAAAGTGAAATTTGATGATGCTACGTTGGCAGTGGTGCACAAGCACACGTGACAAAACAACTCAACACACTCGTCAACAACACTGCCTAGAATAAGAATATATATAAAATAGGTGACGTTTTGGGCAATGGCACTTTTCCATAGCACATCAACCAAAAATATAAAGTGGATATGTCACTACTGAGGTACAATATTCCCACTTAAGCCTGAGACGTGTATAGATAATTAACCCTTTCCCATCCCGATGACGTACGTGTCCGTCATCAGGTCTTCTTCCGATTCCGTTCCGATGACGTACGTCGGAATGGGATTGGAAGGAAAACTCAAATAAAATAACTTTATCGCAACATCTTCAGGTCGCAATACTTTCCGAGGCTCCCCACAAGGCCATGTGGGTACGGTGCGTGGCACAGTTTGGCGCCAGCTACCCCGCTCTAAATACAATTACCGTTGAGCCGCTTGCGCATTCCGAGATTCAGCAATGGACGGGACAACCCACCCTGCAACTTGCAGACGTCTCGGAACGGGTTAATTGAAAGTGAGATACCCATGTGTGTAAAGATCTTATCATTAATACTAATAGCGGGATGTTGCCGTGGTGTAATGAATATCACACTGCAATTGCTATCCCCCCCACCCCCGCTGCCTCTGTCCACCCAGCAGTCTAGATTGGGTGCACCAGAGTTGGTGGATGGGCAGGTTACGCGTGGTGGTGGTGTTGTAGAACTAGATATTCCAAACGCTTCAAGCGTGGCAGAGCAGTTCACATACCCTCTAGTCTCCCTCCAATAGAGGGTCTATGTGGAACTATGTGGAACTTCTTTCGCACCCTACGTAGCCAACTGTGCTAATCGGAGGTGCGGGGAGGAAGGATAACAAACTAAAACACAAAGAGAAAGCAATTACAGGGTTGCACCGAATGCACTTCAGCTCTCAATATGTTACGTGCTGTACTGTACGTGCAAACCGGCCAGGTTGCTTGGCAACAGCAGAGTGAAGCGGCTCTCAATAGAAAGGTTGCGAGTTGGGGGATGACTCAGCCCATCATCCCTCTGTGGGGAAATCAACGGTTGTTACCCTATGGACGATCTCACCCACTCCCGTCAGAGGAATGTGGAATTTACACTATTGGCTCTGGAACAGGAGGATGAGCGTCGCCGCCGGTGATACTTTGACCAATAAATCACTTTGGCTGAATATCAGGCCGTGCGGTTGGGAGTGAACTCACCCTCCTCATCCTCCTCCTCCTCGTCCTCGTCCTCCTCGGTTTCACCATCGAACACCGAGCTGGTGTCCGTGTCGGCCTCCAGGGCGACGTTCTCCTTGTCCTCGGCGTCCGCGTCCTTCCTCTCCGGAGCGTGTGACGCCAGACCCTCCTTGGTGCCCGAGGACAGCCTGAACACAGTGGCAGCTCGGCCCGTCACGACACGGCCGCTCATCGATGTGACGACGATGACAACAATAAAGAAGCATATTCTTGGTTCTTTCGGTAAAGTCACAAAGCAGACCTAAAACACGGTAGGACCAACACCTCGGCCGTGGCAGATCACTGTTATAATTCAGTAGGCTCACATGACATTGACTTCTCCAAGACGGAGGTTCTTTGCAAGCCATCTGGCTATCATGAGAGATTCGTTCATGAGGCTATCCACATATACAAACACAGAGACAATTTCAACCGAGAATATGGATTCTGGCTTAGCAATCATTGGAAGGATTTGATAAACCATTTTGGGTCTTAATTGATTGTTCACGCTTACGGTGGCTTTCAGACCGCATCCATTATTTTCGTCTCCCCCCTCCTCTTTTCCGAACATAGATGGACTCGTCCACCTGAATAACTGCCAAATCGCTCTCCGTGGTGCTAACATAAATAAAAAAACGCCACTTTTTTCACATTTTCTTGCTGTGGTTTTCACACCTGATGATGATTGCTTGTGTTGCAGTAGAAACGTCGTGAGAATTTTATTGTTTTATATTTGTATTATTTTGTTTCCCTTCTACGTGACTTTACCGAAAGAACCAAGAATATGAATCCCTGCAGTCACGAAAGCTTTACATCAAACTAAAGAAGCAGTCGGTTCTCCTATCACGCGGCAGTTTGCGTTCCTGAAGAACACCGCATTATGTAAAAAATCTCGTTATAATAAATAAGGTATGATATAGAGGGGTAAAGCGCAGTCCACGATGACACGTGAGATGCAATACGCAGGCCGAACAAAGACTGAGGGATGTGGGAAGCATCTAGAAGCATCCAGCAGCATCCTGCCTTGTGCGACGCTACGCTGAGGCAGCCGAATGACCGCTTATTCCTGCTCATGCCACGAAGTTCCATTCACTCGATTGTGTTATATCCAATTCGCATCCGCGTTATATATATATAAAAAAATGTGTTCCCTAATACATTCATCGCTCTATCCAATTCGCATTATGAAAACAACATGCAGCGTTATAGGAGAACTGGCTGTAATCATCCATAAGATGTTTTTGTTGGGGAAGGTCGCATACAAGATATAAATGTGTTGTTAAACCCGCCACCATCTGACACAGCCAATTGGTACGGTGTGTCACGTAAACGAAACATGCCAATTAGTTGCTAGTTCAGCACACCGGTGTGTTGGAGAGCGGCGGGTTAAACGACACATTTATACCTTCGTGATCCAACCCAAATAAAACCCCTCTACTGTGGCTAATGTTGATCGTGAAAGCTTCCGACGAGTTAAACAGACCGTAATCATAATTTTACATCTGTAAAGGGCATTACATCCGCCGATGCCAATGCACGCCACGTGTGCAAAGCAGGGAATAAAGAAACAGAACCTGCAGGGTAAACGGCAAGAACTAGGTGGGGGCGGGGTGGTGCAAAAGAACCAATTTAAAGAGGCGAGTTTTCAAGTCGGGACTTAAATATATCGAACGACTCCGACTGTCTTTTTAGCAAAGGCAAAGCGTTGTTCCAAAGCCTGGGAGCTATACTGGCAAAAAAAATACCCGATCACCCGTGCAGTGACACGAGCCTTGACCTCAGAGTACTTAGAAAAAAGCAATTCGAGATCAATACTGTACGTGTACCCCGAATATAGAGGCAGAATTTCAATGTCGCAACTCCATCATACAACTACATGAATGTGTGTTCGCCCCATCACACCTTTTTGGCTTTCCAGACAAATGCTATCCAGCAGTGTTTGTTTAAGCAATCAAAGCCTGCACCAGTTTCGACATTCCGGGCCTCATCAGCAGTCACGCTCGTTAAATAAATGCTTTTGGATTGATACGTCATTGGCAAGAGCACTCCATCTCAACAACGGGAGCATAGTGAGTTTGTGTCAGATGTAAAGAAAGATTGTTTTGCCCAAAATACATGTGTCATGGTTATTCCAAATATACTGCACTGCTATAGCATAATTATAGTCGAATTGTAGCAATATAATTGTAGCATAACATATGTATATAACATTTACTAAAATAGTATCATTAATATTTAGTACACTAGTATAGCATTACATGTAGTATAATAGTATTAGTTATTCTTTGAGTCTTTCGGTAAAGTCACGTAGATAGGTTCAATGAAAATAACAAAAAACTTCGACGTTTCGATCGCAACACAAGCGGTCGTCATCAGGAAAAGGGGGTTAGCCTCTAAAGGCAAACCGTTTATAAAGGTTTAAAATGGGCGTAGCCCAAGTGTCAGCAGCATGGGCGGGGCAGCTGATGTTAATGTCAGTGATGGTCAACGACGGCGACGGCGGTGTGTTTCCACCAATCAAAGGGCTGCCGGGTAAAAATGAGCATGTTAGTGTAAGATCGGAGAGCGGCCTCCATGCCGCGGAGCCACTCGCCTATTTGTATGCAAGAGAGACTATGCAAATGAGATGCGAGACAATGCGTACACGCACATAGAATGCAGAACAAACAAGCCCATGCTAATGACCTAAAATTAGACGTTGCAAATGAGGCCGAATGAGACATCAACCACCGAGATGTACATCGCATGCGAGACGGGCGATGCAAATGAAAGAGAATAGTGAATGTAAATGAGACGGTGAATCATCATACGCCTCGCAGCAACGCACACGCGCCAGCGGAGGGGACATGCAGCCAAACACTGGGTCATTAGAAGTGACAATTCAATTATAAAACGCATATCGACTTTTTATTTTATTTTCACGTGCAAAAAAAAACAACGGCACAATATACTCATCGGATAGAAACCTTGGAGTCAACTATGAGGATAATTTTACTGTTTTAGATTATTTTTATGCCAGCGGGGTCGGCGGAGGAGGCTAATATAAGCATATCGAGCCCACTGTGTGTCCACCTTGAAGTGCTGGCACTGGCTCATTGGAGGCCTTTCAAACAATAGAAACATATTTTTCGGGGCCCACTCTTTCAACGTATAAACTAGTCGTGCCATTATTGAAATTAGATATAAATTAAGAGTTTTAGTGAGATGAGAAAATAGAGATGCGAACAAGCTCAGGACGAGATTATTTAGGGTATGTATTCTAATTTGCCCTCAACTTTATTTAGGATTTAATATGAGCCCCATAAATCCATGCCACTTGAGCTACTTGGGGCCCTGAGCGATTGCTTAGTTTGCTCAGCGTCACCGCTGGCCTAACTCTGCCCTCTGATGACATTCATAACGCGACTAATGTCATTATATGAATCGTTAACCAACGAGTAAACACCGTGGGGCTTAAGTGACTTGCCTCTGACGGTTGGCAGCCACTCAGGGACAGGAACTTACTCCCCACGTTCTATTTAAAATAAGGCATTATTACTGTACTCGGTAGATTATCTCTGTTTTACAGAACTCCCACTGCAGCGCAGAAATCCGAATTCAATATTTTCAGACGGCTATGGTGGGCTATCGTGTGCGATTATTTTTAACGTAGAAACCCTCTATTGCAGGATCGGGGCGAACACCTGTGAAAATAAGACATGCAGAACGCTTGCGTGTACATCCAAGACTTTAATGGCATCCTGCAAACACCAGCTCCCAACAGGGGTCATGTGACTCGGGTTGCCACCTGTCCAGGATTTCCCAGGACGGTCGCCTTTTTTTAGGGAGATTATATTTTTAAATCTGCAAGTCTTCCGGGAACATGAAAAGTTCTGTTATAATAATAATAATACACCGCTCAAGAAAATGCAATTTAAGTGTAGTTCTCCACTCAACTGGTATTGCGAAGGGTGCCACGGTGGCGAGATGTTAACTACCTCGCCCGAGATACAGGAGGTCGTGGGTTCGATCCCGACCCTGACGCCTCCTGTATATTTGGAGTCTGCGTGTCTCCCTCTCCCCGCGGTCGTGTGGATTTTTCTCTGGGTCCTCCGGTTTTTCCCTCCACATTTATAAACACGCGGTTAGAATATTTGTCTGCGATAAATTTCCACGTGATGAGCCGTTTCGTCGAGCGATCATTTGTGGCCAGGTTCGCGTCTGAAAAAGATCTGTACAGCCCAGTGGGCCTTACCTGGTAAATCAAAAAAATTGTTTTGAGTTTAGTAAGGTATTCCTCTTCCTATGATACGTCCCAGCTTCCTGTGCCTCAAGAGGTGGCAGCTTCACATGCGACCCAATGGACTCAAAGTGACCCCTAGAATTCCATCACGCTACCCCCCCCCCCCCCAGCTCCCCCCGTTCTGTCCAGGCGCTCGTTTGCCGGACGGCGCCGTCTGCCCACCACCCACCCAACAACCACTTCTCGCTGCGCAGAGTCCACACGGGAGGCTCAGCGCCAAAAACGCGCCGCTTCTCTCAAGGACGCGGCGGAAGGCGGTCCCCACGGCACTTGGCACCCGGGGCTCAGAGGGCCCGGCTGCTCGGCAGAGCGCGGAGGCTCTCCAACACTCGAGAACGCCACCGAACTGGTAGTTTTTTGGGGTAGTTTTTTTTCTTCCCAGTCCGGTTGGACTCGGCATCGGCTCAATCTTTTGACTGAAAGAGACTTCAAGAGAACTAAATTATAATAATAGTTTATAATAGAAATGTTCATCGCGTGCCTAAATTCCTAAAAAAATCTGCCTTCACTTACTAATCGTGCAAAACTGCAAATAGAGTCATTTATCAACCAAACTTGGCAAAGGAGCGCAAGAGCATCTCAAATTACCAGGTGATGGATTCGGATTTAATCTTTTTTTTATCAAAGGGTTCGTGCTCTTAGATGGCAAAATTTGCGTTCATTCTTGCCTGCGCCTTGGAAGAAGAAGCGAGATTGAGCCTGGTTACCATTTGGATGTAACTGTGCAGGAAAACGGAGAGGTTTTTTCAGCTCGGGCTGTGAATCAGCTCTGGGCGATGGCAGTCGGGGATGGATTCTTAAATCTGTTTGTGAAGAGTGTCGAGTCGCATCCCTGCGTAGGCAGGCGTGGTTCCTCTGGGTACGCAGGTTTTCTCCCACGTTTCAAACGATGGTACGTGAAATTGACCAAATATATCAATGCAGGATTATGTTGAGAATAGATAAAAAGCCTTCATTGCTGGGTAAATACGTGAAATTCCTGTATTAGTATGTTACCGCCTCATTTGTAAGGTAGGCACCTCCCACCGTTCAGTACGCATTGTGGCATTTAGACTTTCGGTATTTTTGTGGTGAAGTTGGTCAAAGCACAGAAAAATAAGAATTTCCAGAAACTCATAACATTGTGGGATCCTTAAGAAGTGTACCGAATTAACATTATTCACATGATGAACGATCAACAGGGATTACGACAACTCTCATTTAAATACACACCCAGTGTTTGACTTCAATGATGACATTTCACCAAATGCAGACAGCATTGTCTTTCTGTGGGGTACAGAGGACAAAAAAAACACCTAATGAAACCATATGTTAGCAGAGGCCTCAAATTAAATGACATGAGAGCAAGTGGACAAGCAGCAGCAGGATTATGGTTTTCTCTGGCGAGACAGTGATTATCGACCACAATTAGCTCACGGCCATGTGGCGAGATGTGGTGCGATCGGTCATGGTGGCCTGAGGAGCGGAAAGAGAGATGGCACAGGACAGGGCAGCATGGGGAAGTTCGTCAAGGACAGCGGACCCCACATGAGTGGGACGGAAGCGTGCAAGAAGAAGAAGAAGCTATGGAGAGACATTTGTGGCCTCGAGGCGCATGAACCATCACGTGAAACTCCAGTCATCCTCGCAGCAGCGGCTTTTGGCTGGCCGTCGAACAAAGACGGTCACCGCATCGCGTGCTTTCAGACCCGTTTATGCGGCCGTCTGGAACGCTCTTCCTATCGATATTAGGAAGCCAGTGGAGCAGTGCACTTTTCAATTTAAATTGAAAACTCATTTCCGTAGAACAGCTTTTTGCATTTAGGTTGTTGCTCTTTCCCCGCCCCTCCTATTAGCGCGGTTGGCTATGTATGGTGCCAAAGAAGTTTAATGGGGAGAGGGGACACACAGACACGAAATGAACACTGGCTGCCACTAGCTGGGCTCAAGGTGCACTACCTCTCCAGCCTCTGCGCGGCTTTCTCCAGCACGCGCTTGAGCTCCTCACGCCCGGCGGGGTTCGACAGGTAGCCCGGCGTCTTCATCGAATGCTGATGTGAGGTGGCTGCCGGCGTAGGGGTCGTGCTGCCCTCCTTGCCGCCATGCTCCCTGCCGTGCGAGCCGCTGGTCGGGGAGCGGGCGAATGAAACGACACAGGCACGCGGGGTCAGGATGCCGCAACATTGCAAAAAGTAAACCGTCGAGCGTCTTCCGCTGGCATTGTTGGCTTCACCAGTGCAACATTTGGCTGTATGCAGTCCCCATTCGGGCTCTGGAGTAGAGTTGCCACCTCCGACATACACAAAACAGAACAACATGGGAATAATAAAATCTCACAATACAGCAAGAGAGGTTTACTATCAGGGGCGGAGCCAGCGGGGGGGTGACAGGGGTGACATTCTGCGTAAAAGTGTACGACACTCGGTCTGGCAGACTCCGTGCAACTGCATTGCCAGAGTGTGTCGCCAACCGATGGCGTCTAGTTCAACAGCCTGACTCTCTAATCATTCTTGAAATTAAAATTTGTTGAATGTCACCCCGGCCTGAAATTCTGGCTCTGCCCCTGTTTACTATGCATTGTTTTGAGTCACATGTGGACCCTGTTCTGACAAAAACAGAAAACCAGGAAATGTAATGTCCCCGGAAGATTTGCAGAGTTCCCAGGTCAGCTACCTTACACAGAGGACAATCCAGGAGAAATCAGCACAGGTGGCGAACCGATTCCCCTTTTCTGCATACACACAGCCCTGCTGAAGAGATGCGACGTCAATTGTCCCACCTGCTGACAGACTTGTACGAAGTCATTTTAAATAAATAAATATCCACCACTGGCTCAGAGCAGCTGATGGAGGCAAGCGCCACCTAGTGTTCACTTGAACGTGGGAGACACTTTGCTCTCGATGTATTATTTTTCTCTAGGACCTACCGCGTGCGTTGCTGCTACAGATTCCCAAAAAACCTCCCACAACATGGAGCGGAACGTAGGACATTGGTGGCCGAACAACACTCGGCGCACCCCCCCCCCAAAAAAAAACAACCACAAAAGCCATCTGAGAGCTACGCGGTACGACTGCAGAAGCCTGCGCAGCAGGTTCCGGGATCGGATGTTTAACACGTCGTAGGCTTTCGCCACCAATATCATCCATAATAGAGTTTTTTTTAGGGGGTTAGATCGCGTAAATTATTTACTAACCCCACAAAAAACCCTCCATTTATGAGCTTTGACTTACAACTTTCGTGACTGCAGGCAAGGTGATGGTTTTGATTGGATCTTCAGATCACTCCTTCCTCACGGTTGGGGTGATGGCTTTGCGGATTGTGTAGTAGACTACACAAGCCATAGCAGGGATAACCAAAAAGATTTCCAAAATCTTGAACAAACACAAGATCCTGGTCCGATTTAACGCAGTGCAGAAAATTCGTGATCTGATCCCATCTGTGAAGGACAAGATTCCTGACATACAATACCACGGCGTGTAAAAACTAAGCTGTGTCTGCGGCAGCCATTACATTGAGGAAACTAAGTGACATGTCTCGGACCGTGTTCGTGAATATGAGGCAGATCTGGACCACGGCAAGACCAATACTTCTGCCATGGCTGATCATTACTTTAATGCGGCTGGCTCACACGAAATTGATTTCTTTAAGACGATGGTGATTTGAAAGCCCACTGGCTATCGACAAAGATTCGTTCACGAAGCCATCCATATATACAGACACAGACACACTTTCAACCGAGACGACGGTTTTAAACTCAGCAATCATTGGAAAGATGTCATCAACCACTTTGGGGCATGACTTGATTTGTGTTTTCTTGTCAACCTCTACCGTCAGCAGTGTGGGTGCGTGTAGCGAGGTGCAATGTCCCCCCCCCCCCATCTCTACCACCCTCTCTCCCCCCTATCTCAACCCTCTTCCTACCCCCATTGTCTAACACATTTGCTTTACTTGTACTTGTGGTGCTTTGCTCCGACATTGACGCTGAATATATTAAGTAATATATTAAGTTGTAGAGAATATATTAAATAATATATTAAGTTGTAGAGAATGAAACTAGGAGGGGGGGGGGGCACAAGACAGCTAGACCACCCTGTACTGTATTCGACTTACGCAATTCTTTTAAATTTGGCAAGCTATCACGCGTTTGGCACAACTTTAAATGTCAACGTTATTCAGCCATGGCAAGCAATTTCAATTGAGCAAAAATGTGCGGTGGCTAAACTCCCAAACTTGCTCCGTCTGGGTGTCTAACCTAACCCTGCTTGACTTGTTTTGACTTTTAATGTGGCCGAGGTCAGCAGAGAGGTATCCCAGTGGTTAACGTGGGGCGGTATGCACCGCAATGCATTCTGGTAAGAAAACACAAAGGAACTGAGAATACAAACTAGCATATCATGGTGTGAACCCCCTCTCTCCCCTCCTTCTCCCTTACCCCCACCCAAGGCCGTAGCCATGGAGTCAACATTAGGGGGGGACCAAATCTTTAAGGGTGTCTGGGGGTCCCAACCCAGAAACAAATCTAAATTTGAAAAATCATTTCCTGCCCAGAATTTTTTTAAAAATTCACTAACACATGGGATGGATTTTTTTTTTTTTACAATAATGTCGAATAGTGTATTGTATTACATGGCTCTGTTTTAACTTTTATACCTTTTCTTGTTTCATTGTATGTAATGGCAGAGATTAGGGATTAATAAAGTACAACCATAACCACAATCTATATATATAAACAGCAATCTATGCATTGATTTATATGAAGACAAGTCCAGATATTGTGGCCAAGGTTTAGCAAATTGTTGTTTTTATTTACATAGCATAGCAATTTTTTTAACCAAAATATTGGGGGAGGTGGGACATTTTGAGCATATTTGAATATTGGGGGGGGGGGGGGAACATCCCCCCCCAATATATTATAATTACGGCCTTGCCCCCACCTCTCCCCACTCTCCCCCTCCACTTCTCCCTCTCTCCCCTCCACGTGCGCTCCACGTGACGACTCTTCATGGCAGATGTGAGGCTCGATGATGTCCCGGGGGATAGGAGTGAGATGAGCACTTTATGTTTAGTTCAGTATACATTTTCACGCGCTCGAACGCGATGCCCTATATAATGTATACTGACGTCACTCGGATAGGGCACTTGGTGCATTTTAGAATGTTACTTTGTATGTAAAATAGTCGGTGGGAGGAGGCAAAGAATGAGACTGATCGATACGCATCGAAGGAAAAGGGTGAGCGTCTGACTCGGGCAAGAATGCAGGCAAAGGGCAAAAATGAACTTGGCGATATTGCTGCGTTCGAGCTGACGGGAGGGGAAATAGCAGCAATGCGCAAGAATACATTGTGCAGTACTGCATGAAATGTGTATATTAAATATTTAAAACGCTCATTATAGTATATAAAGTATATGAAATGCACTAGAATAATTTTCACGGTATGTAATTCGAACGCACTGTGTAGTATACAATGTATTCTAAATGCAGCAGAATGTGCTACGCAATAAATAATGTATTTTTAATGCACTATAATACATTTCGTGGTATCTGTTTTCTCAATGCACTAGAGCATGCTATGTAGTATATCATGTTTATTGATGCACAATCATATATTGGGGCACCGTTTACCCAACTCCAGTCCTTGCTACTCGGCACGTCTCCCTGCCTTCATCAATCCAGTCCCCCTTCAATAATAATGAACTCGTTGCACGCGCCCGATAATTGTTAAACACGTCCCACGTGACGCGATAAGCAATTAACGCTGTCTGTGTTGATAGAGCTTATGCAAACTAAGATCGATATCTGAATGTGCGTGTTCCACGCGGCGCAGACAGCGTTAATTGCTTAGCGCATCACGTGGAACGTGTTTAACAATCATCGGGCGCGTGCAACGTGGAACGAGTTCATAATCTGTGTGTGTGGTGAGCTTCTTTTGCACCGTACGTACCCGACCGTCCTAATCGAAGGTGCGGAGGGGAAAGGTCAGCAAACTAAACACAAGAAGCAGTTCTAAAGACACGAGTTTTCGATCTAGATTTAAAAGTACACAGCTCCCAGTGGCTTCCTAATATCGAACTAAAGAGCGTTCCAGACGGCCGCGGAATTCGAACGGGGAGCGCTAAGCGGCGTGGCGAACAAAGGCGCAGTGCGGTGGGTCTCGAGAATCGGGGTATTTGGAAAGCCCCGCGTCGCAGTGCGCAGTGTATAATGCCCATCGAGTCGAACATGACCCCTCCCATCCCCGTCGTTGTTGTTGTGCGTTTTGACCCCGGAGTCCAATCAACCGTCACCTTTTCCACGCCACTTTAAGCGCCGGGCCAGACCTGTGCGCGCCGGCTGCTGCGGGCGCGGTGGCGGCTGCGGGCGCGGTGGCGGCCGCGGTCGGGAGCGTGGCTTTGCGCGAGGAGCCGTGCGAGCCGCTGCCCCGGGAGAAGCTGGGCAGGTGGAAGAGCGCCGTGTGGGACGACGCCGCATGGGACGACGCCGACGCCGCGGTGGCTCGGGTGGCCGCTCCTCCGGGCGCCTGGCCCGCAGGGGATGATGCTCCTCCGCCCTTCTTGTGGCACTGGAACATTGCCGCCTTGGCTTGCGACGAGAAGGACTTCGCCGTCTGCCCCGACTCTGCTGCGCACCGCAAAAGACGAGGGCCTCGGTGAATCGAGGATATTTAACACGTAGTAGGAGGCTTTCGCGACCAAAATCGTCCATAAGGTTTTTCTTTTTGGGTTAGATCGCGTAAATATATAAATGTTGTGACGTTAAATCAGCCACCACCCGACACAGCCAACTAGTAAGGGTTGTCACGTAAACAGAAAGAACATGCCAATTCGTCACTAGTGCGTTGGAGAGCCAAGCCACAACATTTACAATCAGAGTACGACGTTTCGCCAGTAATTACAACTAGCTTCATCAGGCGACAGCCAGATGAGTGGAGAAGTCCACCTCTTTCGTTCCTTTGCGCAAGAGCGCAGAAGCGTGGCCACCACATCTACGCCTCTATATACCCTCCATTATGAACACAGGATCTTTCACAATCCCGATACTAGATACGGCGTTAGTAGTAATAAGGTCGTGTATTTAAACGGGAAAGTCTCCGCCGTTGTGATCCGATGCTAGATAGAGGCCTCACCAATGCTGTTCATGGAGGCTGTTTGGCTGTTCATGGAGGCTGTTTGGCTGTACAGTCGTTCACAGTGCTAGTCAGCGTGGGCTCGTCAGCTACTGATGTTCTAACCGTGGCCGGTTGCCGGGTGCACAGCGCATTGAACGCATCACTTCACCTATTAGCTTCACAAACAGCTTCACCTATTAATAATACTCATCATGATGATCGGCCACAGTCAATCTACTGCTGAATGAATTAATCGCCATCCCATCACTATCCACTCGATCCTGTAATGCCGCATGCTATCTCACTCCCGCACGTGAGCTGATTTTTATCTCTCCGTCTCCGCTCCGGTTGCCATATTATTAATAATGCCACTTATTTTCCCAGGAGAGCCTCGATGAGCTGCAAGAACTCACGGATAGATTCAATCCACAGATGGACGCGAAGAATGTAATCCATACATGGATTGTAGCATTGCTTTACTGCCAACTCCAGGCTACACCACAGCCGCATGCCTAAAAACACCAAGCGAGTCCTGGGGGGTCACCCACCCAAGCACTCACCTGACTCAACCCATCCAGGAACTGGGCCTCCAGTGCGATCATTCCCTCACGGTGATTTTCTTTTTTACGCCAACCTACAGTACTCCTAATTAAACAGAACCCCATTCTCTGACTCCACAAATGAAACCGGGCCACAATTTTGCGCAAACAAACACCGCTTTATAATATCGGTCTGGAAAACCAATAGGCTAATGGATTTAAACATTTCTATTGTACGTGCAGGAGACAGAATGCAGTTCTGTCGATGTTGGCTTCGCCCGTACTGTTCCGTGGCAAACGTGTAATGAGTCTGTGTACAGTTTCCCAGGAGTCGTATTTTTGGTTCACTGTCCGCTTCGCGATTCGCCTACATTTCTGCCATTAACACATGGCAATGAAACACGACTCGCTGCGTGTAACGTAACAATGCAATTACGGTGTAATTAGGATGCTCGCTTGGAGACGCACGCGCTTTCCCCCAGTGTCACAATCGATCTCTTTGCCCACCGTGCAAAGGGCATATTGGGCATCCGTAGTAAGAAATTTGTTTCGGTCTCTGGGAGCCCACGTATGTGCGCTTCAAGCGCCAGATTAGGCATCAAGAGATCGAGATGTCATCGCGGCCAACGCCATTGATGTCACCCACTCCTCCTCGCCAACGCGTCCTCCCATCTGCCAGATGCTGCAGCTGCTTGCACGGTGCAGACACGCGATCTCCGAGATCTGTGCTGAGAGTCTCCCACCATCTGCCCTTTAGCTATTCCCCTTGGTCGCTGGACTCACGGATAGCATTCAAATGCCTGCCTTGGTAACCGGAAATTGCCATCCTTGCACACTCATGTCCCACTCAGAGCAGTCTTGTAAAATGGCTCATCATATCTTTCAACACCTGTCTGTCATGTGCTCTTCGGAACTTTTGCATTGCGATTTCCTGTGTTATCACGAAGAGTCAGATGTGATAACATTAAGCACATACCAATTTCTAAAATGTTTCGTGAGATTTTTTTTTTATCTGAGTGTGTTTTCACTGAAGACGTCTATGGAATTTATGCCTTGGCAATTTGGGCTTCAAATTCAATAACTGTAAAAAAATACTCAAAATAAAAAAGGGAATTTTTACTCACTAGGTAATTTACATTTTACAGAAATTGCATTACATTACAGAAGCCTGAAGGTTGTATATCCTCCGGAGGCAATGGTAGAATAACCGTGCATTTTATTATGAAAATTTGGGCTTTGAAGCCACTGCACATTTACAATGAGGAACGGGGTCTCTGTTCCTGATGATACGCGTTTTTCGGTAATGACCATCATTTACGATGACTTGCCGTAATTTTAAGGGCACCAACTCTAAAGGAAACCTATTTTAGCAGGACACTGAAACGTAGCCGTAAAGTCCAGTGAGCATTAATAATATTAACAAGCGGCATTGTGCAGAAAATCAAATTGTACGAGCCCCACTCGGTATTAAACATGTCAACAACCAGCTGAAAATATAATTTACTATGATAAAACCAGCATGATTAATAATGGACACCTGGGCACCACTGATAGCTAATCCTAAGGCAAAATATGCTTCATTTACAAAAGGATGCGTTCTTTTTTTCAAACGTGCGCTTTTAGAAAGTGCGTTTCTTTCCATGCATGAGAAATTCTCTACATTTTTCGAAATCAATATTTAAAATGAACAAAAATTATAATTCTGCAACCAGCCAACTTAGAGCAGGATAACAAAACCTACCAGAGCATTGCTCCAACAATTTGTCGGAGTGGTGCCATGGTGGATAGCGCACTGCGCTACGAACCTCCGTGATCTAGGTTTGATTGCTAGCCACGGCTCACATAGGTGGCAAGTGATATCTGAACCGATACTGGGCCCCTCACCCCCTTCCGCACGCGCATTGACCAGCATAGTGGCAGTATGGTCAAATCGAGAATGGCGTAAGCAGGCCTTTGTCCAGCAGCGGCGTGATTATTTTGCTTACTTATAATACTGTGAGTAGAAAACGCTTAAAGTTAACCTTTAAAAAAAACACATCATGAAACTCCTTGACTGTGTCTGCAAAAACAAAATTAAACCTCTAGAATTAAGGATGAAGCCTCTTTATTGGGCAAGCCTATTCTGTCAGCAGTTGTACACACGCCGGTGGTATCTGTTTGCCAGGCCAATCATGCCAGTCTCATCACAATGCCACCTCGCCTGTCTTCCACCAGATACTGACACACACACACTCTGCATCTCACACGAGATTGTACACACGTCCCTAATAACAGTTCGCACACAACCTAATGCCGCTTTAATGACTGCAGTTAAATAAATGATCATGCGACTCTAATTATGTCACGACAGTGAGATCAGACTCGTTGCTGCATTCTCTATTAAAATGTTTCCGCTTAGAACAATGCACGTATCAGCATCATTGCTCAGTGTTAAAAAAAACATATTGAGACAGATGCCTTGTCAAATGCACATCGTCTATTCTTTATAGACTTGCTCGGGCACGCCTAAGCCAAACAATGCAAGGGTACCGATGCGAACATTGAAACAACGCACCCAAATTAATGCCCGCGTGCACGCACAATCACAAACGTGAACGGTGTCGATAGCGACGTGTTCCGCAACCACAGTGCGATGTGCCAACGCATCTGTGTAACCGATAGCGTGCGGCATCGCCGCCAGCTGTTCGACGGGGGTGGCTCGATTGCTCCCCGGGCTTAAGTCAGCCGACTCTTTGCGCTCAGCTACCGCAGCACTACCACCCCTCGACGCACACGTCCAACCGTGCGTTTGGCACCAACGTGTAGCCCCGAATGTGCCGCGTGGGGTGCCCAACGTGCCACGGGGTTGCCAATGTGGCCCACCACGCGCGTGCGGCGCGAGAGAGCGGCGTGAGTGACTTACCGGCCGCCGTTTGGCGGGTGGCTTTGCGTCCCGTCTTGGTGACCCGGCTCTTCTGTGCCGAGTGCTTGCATTGCGCGGCCGCTCCCCCCGGCTCGCTCTTTGTTCTCGTCGCGCCGTCCCCATCGGCAGCCCGGCCGGTCGCTCGTTTCTCCATCCTCGTTCCTCGTCCGTCTCGCCAACGCCGCGTCTCTCTCTCTCTCCTCCCTCCTCTCTCCTCGCCTTTGCGCTCTCTCTCTGTCTCTCTGTCCTGCCGCTAATGCTGCCTCCCTCACGTCTCTCTCTCTCTTGTTGTCGCTTTCCCTTCTACCAGGGAGAGCTGCAAATAGAGAGAGTGGGAGAGTGAGAGAGAGAAAGAGTGGGTGGCTGGGATTGTATTAATCCCTCGTTATCTAAGGTGGCTCAGGCCACGGCAACCATGAGCAGATTTACATTGCAGCTGTGCACGTACAAAATAAAAGCATACAAATAATGTAACGTAGAAATAATTTAACTCAATCCCCGGGGTCCACGGCAGATTTGAAATCACCATTTAAAGGCAAAAGAGTAAAAACATGCCACGCAATATAGCGCCCGATATAAAGCGGCCAAGCATTTGATATTAACACGTTCGGGGAGAATTGCATTGCCTGCAATTGAACATTGGTCGCAGCTTCTGTAAGGAGGAGGGCGGCTCTGTAGATCTATTCGCACATCTCTGGATCTGCTACTCTCGGGCAGGAAATGCATTACGTTGGTGCGGGAGAGTGTGTTTAAAAAGCAGCCTCCCTGAATTATTGATCCCTCTCATCGCATCTTTGGGCCACTTGCACCCGCAAAGAGAGAGAGAGAGAGGGGGCTGCGCGCATTGGCAGAGCGCGGAATGGGTGAGTGGAGCGTTGTATGCATCAGAAAACCTGAACACACCTATAATTTGTTTTTATTTGACCAGGTAAGGCCCACTGAGCTATGTAGCTCTTTTTTCAGAAGCGACCTGGCCACAAATTATAGCTCAACGAAGTGGCTTATCACGTGGAAATTTGTAGCAGCCAAATACTCTAAACGCGTGTTTTTAAACGTGGAGGGAAAACCGGAGGACCCGGAAAAAAATCCACGCGACCATGGGGAGGAACATGCAAAATATACAGGCGTCAGAGTCGAACCCACGACCTCGTGTATACCAGGCGAGGTAGTTAACATATCCTAGCCACCGTGGCGCCTTCCCACACCTCTGCTGTCTTTTGCGCTCACTTATAATAATCAATTTGATAAAGTCTCCATGATCTATTAAAGTGACTGCCGATCAGGCCTGATAAGAGGGAGGAAAGGGGGTACAGTACAACTGTATCGGGTGAACCCCAATCATTCTATTATAAGAAAATGTTAAGCCAAAAAAGATAACGGCTGAAAATGCCAAAACCCTGAATGAATGCACGTTCAACTCATTATGAATTCATTTTCAAGCACCGTCAAAAGCAATAGCCGTTTATTTAATAAATGAATGAGATACTTCATGCCAGCTAGTTTATATAATTGTCATTGGTAACACGATGAGAATAACATGTTTTTTTACAAGGTCAACAATGGTTCGGAGCGCCATCACGTTAACAATCAATACAAATATATAATTGTCGTATCTTTTTTAAAATTAATTTCATCCAGATCGCGCTATCGGTACCACGTTATGAGACAAAGGATCCGTCTGGATCTCTCGCAAAACAGCGCGGCCGTTCCGTGCTATAAGAACGGCTCATGGAAGCGGATATCAAAGAGCTACCTCTGAGATCCTTTCACGTGACCTCTGGTCCACACCGTAGAGAAACACTCTTCCCACCAACTCTGCATAATGAGAGTAAATGTTCAGCACAGAAGGCTTATGTTTTGCTCGTACGGCAATCTACGTGGCCTTTGACTGCGCACTCCCAGATTCGTCTGACATTAAAGCAAGAAAAAAAAACCCATTGTGGCTGCGTCAACGTGCCTCGAGCTGCTTGGCTTTGCTCCTTGATATTCAGGTCAGTGTCTTTGGGAATATGAGCACGAGCTACAAGGATTTACAGGAATTAGTGAGTGATGTCACCAGCAGACCGATATTAAAAGCTAATGCTATTGACACACAGAGATCGCCGTACATATATACAAGCAATATCGGTGACCACAAGCGTACTGGTATGCGGTACATACTGGCCATTGTATACAAATACAAACCAATTTGGATGTATTTAATAACAGGCAAATGCAACCACATCTCAAGACGCTCTTCGGAACAGTGGGCAATCATTAACTGGAGAGAGAGAGAGAGTCATAGTTGGAAGACAAGAGAAAGGTATTGGCACAGAACATGAATAGGGGCAGTCGCGAGTCAACGGCACAGATGACTGAGGTAAGGCAGTTCCAGACTTTTATTTAGTTCATTTCAGTTAATTTATTAGGAAAAGCCCTGTGAGCCATGCGGCTCTTGAATCTATGGGGGAGGGGCGGGGGGGGCAGTGGAGGGGAATGAATAACCCAGTGTTGATATGAGAGAGGGCAGAAGCGAGTCCACGGAGGATTTTAAAAACGTCGACCGTGATTTTGCAATCTATCCCGGACTTGATTGGGAACCATTGGTTTGCGCTATTGTCGTGATGCGGTCCACGTTTATGGATGTGGGCGAGCAAGTCTCTGAGTGGCATTTCTGAATCATCTGGAGTTTGGTGAGGCCGTAGAGTGTGGGGGGGTCACAGTAATTGAAGTTTGGATATGACTGAGAGGATGGTTGAGGGTACTTAGTGGTGGTTGGCGTATGGAATTGGTGGACGCAGGGAATGTTGTGCATTTTGAGGTGTGAGGGTACTGCAGAGTGGGGATATATGGGATAAAGAAATGAAATACAAAGCAATTTAATATCCAAACCTTCATTTATGAACATCTGACCAGGCGACAGAGCAGTGGAGTATAATATATAGCAGTTTGAAGTTGCGTTTATGAATTCAAATGGACATTGAGTAAGCCCTTCATCCATTGTGGGTCGATAAATTGAGTACCACTTTGTGAGGAAGTCTACAGTGGTTGTCCTCTATGTCACTAAATTAATAGAGGACTATAAAGTATAGCAATATACTTAATTACATTTATAAAGAGCCACTCTACCAGGTACTCAGAGCAATGGTGTATTGCCAGCCAGCACATGGTAGTATATTCACGTGCATTTACACACAGGGCTTCATTTCGGCCAGGCCTCTTCAGGCCGGGTGCCAGAAAATATTCCCCACCCGGCGCACGACCATCCCTTGCGTTATGGCTGTGGCTACCAGTCATGTGCCTAATTCCCGTCTTGCATCATCATTAGCCAGGGTCTATCCACTGTTAGATTAAGCCCCCCCCCTCCCCCAATTCGTTGCCATATCTCACGATTCTGCAGCTTCAATAATGCCATTTGGTGCCTTCACCCAACTGTCACTGCAACTTTCAATGCCATTTCGGGCAGTCTACCAGTCAACCCGGAGGGAAAAATCGGAGAAAAATCCACGCGACCGCGTGGAGAGAGACACGCAAACTCTAAATATAGAGCAGCAGGCGTCATCTGGATCTCGATCGAAACCACGACACCCTGCTAAAAGGAGACAACATCTCGCACTATGTCATCAGTTTGCCCTGTGATCAGTAAATAATGCGCATGCATTGACTATTACCTCACACGCGTGGCATTTGTGCATCCTTGAGTCATAGGTGTTCGCAAACGGTCGACCATCCAGATGAAAACTACAGTATTATGTCCTTGTGTGCGCTCGCGTGACGTGATTCTCAATACCACAGCGTGGCATAGGCAGGGCTGGTTTTCACTTCTGCTTTTACTGTTTAAGTTGTAGCGTGGGGAAGCCTGGTATCTGGCATTTTGGGACAATATCAATGCTGCACTCAGAATGACAGTATTACACTATAAGCTGACCCCATTAAAATCTTAGCTATGTCGAGCATCATCCTGCCGTTTGACTTTAACCTTGCAGCTTTGCAGCGATTATCTTTTGTATTAAAATCTTATTCTCAATCTAAGCGTGTTTAGCGTTTGCCAGTATCCATGCGAAAAGTCTGGCTTATTGCCTCCCACTCCACATGACCGTCTGTTATGTGCTTAACTCTGTAAGTGAATTCCGTTGTTCTGCTTGTGTACTTCAAGTACTATCTCGGTCGACGATTCTGATTAATATGCGAGCAATGAAGATCCAGGAGAAATAACGGACAGAACGGCATTCAAATATTCCCCGAGACATTGATCACACCTGACAAATGAAATATAAAAAAAGAGAGAACACAGCAGTATCATTGTTTTTTTTCGGTAAAGTCACGTATGTAGAAATACAATAAAATTATATTGAAACAAAACAATCACGACGTTTCGATCACAACACAAGCGATCTTTATTAACACAGCAGTAGTTACGTATATGGACATCTCGGGGTTAATGTCATAATAACACTGCAGTAGTAAATAAAATAATAATACACCAACATGAAATCAATCTTTTAAATTTCTCAAAAAAAAACTCGAAGGCCCCATCAATTATTTGTGTGGTCTAGGTGAAACCACAGTGTCCTGCTGTCGTGTCAAGAGTGCATTCCGTCTCGCATTGCGATTCCGTGGAAGTGCATCGATACAAGAGCGGCACGTGGCCAAGAGATATCAGCCGCGGGCGGTGCGCGCGTGCTAACGAACTGCGGCGGGAGCTTCTCTCTCCTCTCCGCAGAGTTAGCGCCGAAGCTCCGGCGAACGTGAAGAAAGGAACGGCGAGAGGGGGGGGACGGCGTAGCAGCCACCCCGCGATCGCTCGCTCGTACCCCTGGCTGGCGGAAGGGGGTCTCCGGTGGAGAGACAGCTCTCGAGAAACCCCTCTTAAGGATATTTGAATCAATGCGCGAGCCCAATACATCACGTCGTGACTCACGCACGTGCACACACCGTCAGCATCAGCTAAACCGCTTATGAAAAGCAGAGGATAGAAAGATGGGGAAGGGACTCACTGCCCCAAACCATACAGGCTCCCACCGAAAGGGTATTTTAAGCTTCTACGCCAGATATCGGAGAGCTGACACTTACTGTATTATCCCCCAATATATGTAACAAGCGTAGTAAGCTTGGCACATTTTGGCCATTTGCTCTACGTCAATCTCAAAATTAGTTTTTTTTTTGGGGGGACCATTTCAGGCGTTGCAGCCTGAGGATTTTTTTTTCTCTCGCAAAACTTGGCTCGCACGGTCACACAATCGGTGTGATTCAATGCAACGATCGACCTGCCAAGACTGACACAAAGGTGGGCGCTGTCACGGCCCCCCTCCACCCGAGGATGGCGCTATCCTCCCACGCACGCTCTGCATGCCCCTGCGTCGGCTCCTGGGTGGAAAATAATGATCATCATAATAATAATCTGTCATCGAAAACATTCCGGGGCTGCCTCTGACCCCGCGAGTTACTCCACCGCAGCGCTCGTCTCTTCCCTCTGCGCATTCCTCTCGCAACTGCGTTTGGTGTTTCGTTTTTTTTTTGTCCTGTCCCCCGCACACTCCTATTAGCGCGGTTGGCTATGTGCGGTGCAAAAAGCAGTTCAACGTACGTACACACGCATGTTGTGGCCCACGTCCCGTGGTTTACATTGCTAAGCAGACGATGGTGGCGCAGAAATGCCTTGCGCAGAAATGCATGAAGTTTAGGGTTGGGATGGTTAGTCCATGGAGGTTGATTCGTTTAAGGAAAACAATTGAATGGATGCATTTTTGTGTGTTCCAATTCGCGGCTCATACATCATTTTAAAGGTGGGAAACCCCATGTAAACCACGTCTCGCGTGATGCACATGATGATAACGGAGGTGAGACTCCCCCCTCCCCAACCAATT